CTGACGCGGCGTGTAAGTGATTTGGCTGGTAATCGACCGTGCTGATTGGTGGAGGGGTAGAACGCAGCCAGTGGTAAGCCTTGAATCAGCTTCATAATACCAGAAAGCTGGCACCGGCTACGACGGATTCACCTTGGTAGTTTGCTTGGAGTGTATCTGTTGTTCGCTTGACCCCGTCTGCCCGCCCGCGGATAAACCTCGTCTGCGGTGCCCGCGGACGAACCCCGTCTGCGGTGCTAGCAAACAAACCCCGTCTGCGGTGCTAGCGGACAAACCCCGTGTGCGGTGCCCACGGGTCGAATGACGGACGGACGGGTCTCCAGCACGAGCTATAAGCAGAGACTAGCTACACAGACTGCTGACACCTGAGCTATTACTTCGCTACTTAGCCAGCAAAAATATGTGTCAAGTTATTGTCATGTGACGTAGTACAACCACACGTGCTCACATGGTATCTACTACTACCCGCACGCTGCGCGTGCGGGCAATGCACACGTGCGACGCATGCTTAGACGCGAGCTGTGCCGTGGTATATTCGGAGTTGTAGCTCATTCGGTCACCAGCGGCACCAGCGTGGTGGGGATACCGGAAGTCAGCGCAGCGTGGGTGACGGATAATCAAAGCCTGCTGGCCACGTGCTGTGCTGCTGATTGGACCGCAGCCAGCGCGTAATGGACATCGATCGGTGATTGGTGACTAGGTGGTCATCAACGAGCTGTGGGTTTTGCTCCGCCCGTAAATGAATCAATGCTCGATGAGCTGGGAGTGCTCGTTCGGCGAAAAAATTGGTTCACTGCAATTTGTTTTTGGGTAGAATAGTCGGTGCACAGGTTGCGTCGATGATCATCGCATTTCCTTTCTATGTGCATGGCGGAGGGTCCCTGATCTTCTGGGACTCAGATCATGAGATTAAAATGATTGAACGTCAGGTTGAGCCAAGCTCGTTTGCTATTCTGTCACGAACGGGTGCAAAAAGCTCACAACAGTGGCAGATCATCGTACCAATCAAAGGCCCGACCTGCATCGTACCAATCAAAGGCCCGACCTGTATCTCTGATCTCGTGGGCGATGAGACGCCTCGGATTAACGCTGAAATGACGTCATACTGTCACTTGACATATGGCTCAGGGCCAGCGCGGATATGACGGGGAAAGCCAGAGGACCCGTCACCCCCACGCCATCCACCTGTCGGCGCGCCCCTCGTCCAGACAACGTCACAATTAACCGGCCGAGCGTCGCACAGCGCCGGACAAACGAATCAATGGCTCATTCACGCACGCCATCGACCCCGCCCCCTCTGGCGTCCCCTCCCCTCTCTCTCTCTGGTCACGCAACGACGCTAGGCAGGGATCGCTCTGGCCGGTCGGGTCACATCGAATGGTTCGATGGAGGCATACTCTCTGGTACGTATTTGTGTCGGAGCTGACTTGGACTTCAGTTGGTCAAGCGTAGTGGTTTTGGTCAAATATTAGTCACACAACAAAGCTAGACACGATCTAGTTCCAACGTCCCACCTATTGATTCCTGTATTGGACGAATAACTGTTTTTGACAAGTTTCGACCAGAACAAATTACCTTTCAATCGGTAATCGACCAGTAATTACATCGGTCGGCGCGTTCCTAAATCCAGCGCCAGCGCAGCTTTCAGGTGTGGGGGCGCTGGCTCCGGAACCGCGCGGGAGCTGCCGGCACCTCGCGTGCTGGAGGGCAATCAGGATCGCGAAACTGCCGGAACGCGATTACCGTGACTTGTTTGCGACGCCGGCCGTCGCCGATAGTGTTTAATGTTGTTCTGGCGTGCCACGTCGGACTGCAGGGCGGCTACAGGGCGCTCGGTGGTGGGCTCGGCGGAGCTACATGCGGCAGACTAGTCGCTGAATGAAGTGCTCCGTCCCCAAGTGACGACTGGTAGGGACCGCTGCCTGTTGGTTTGCCCTAGCGGGGTGCTTTCTGTTCCTGGGGAGTCGTTTCGTGAAGCGATGGGGTGAAGCCCAGCTGACTTTGCTCCCAACTGCACAGGCGAATTAGAGCCGCTGTTTTTTCTTATTGCTGAAACTACCCTGGATTGCATGCATGGCATATTTACGGCTGGGCTTGGGCCATTCCGTGGTTGCACGTATCCTGCTTTGTTAAATCGTGCACTGCTCAGATGCATGGAAATGGTTATGGCGAGGCTTGACATTCTTTTGGGCCCATCAGCAAGGTAAACTATGAAATCCATGTCTGCGAATAACTCTTGCTTGCATCTATACTCATAAGTGAACTACCGATTAATGTACCATCCATGAGCAATTGAATTCCACTCTGCAAAAGGCTATAATGGCAAATGCCTTCATTGACTGATTGCAATTCAACATAACCCCACACTGCCTTGCAATGTAAAGAAGGCTCAATAACTACTTGTCCAGCCTCATTTGCATTGCAAATTGATGTTACCAGAGTTCTGGAACCTGTCGTGCCAAGAGTTTGCCGGAAAATAATTATTCAAAATGAGTCGCTCGTGACTTTGAGATACACTGTAAGAAGCCATCAGACACACTACTGGGCTACACGGCCAAGGTTTAGCGCATGACGTTTTCATGAAACTTGCAGGAGTCACCACGCCGTGTGCTCATCATTCTTCCGCAACAAATTATGGCGAAAATTCGTCTTGTGATGTGGCAGATCGAAGAGCTATGGTGCAGCAAGCGAATCCTTGTCGAACTGAGAACACGGTCAGATCCTGATTGGTATACATTTCACTTCAACTGTAGGGAGCGTCTCTTTTGGACGGGACGGATCGCTCGCAAGCATATCCGTGACAAACTTTGACCAAAACAGGTCAGAGACCCGTGCGCGTGATCAACAAAATCCGTCGCCACGCGGGTTCTCATCAGTCAGGACCTGCAGATAGTCCTACGTCACGACGTGACACCATTGGTTCACGCTTCCCAGAACGCATCGGCTAAGTATACTCACCCACACCCATATATATATATATATATATATATATATATATATATATATATATATATATATATATGTATGTAAGTATGTATGTATGTATGTATGTTTGGTGTAAGTGGTGTCTTTATGAACCAATTATAGCTGCATGTGGTTTATATAAGATGAAACATTCACTCGGTGCGGTGTGGTTGCTGTTGCAGCTGCAGGACTGTTTTTGTGGTGTAGAAACGCACCTATAATCATCGGCTGTCATCATCTCATTCGTCTGATGGGGGTTGTGCAGGCGCGTGAGCAGATATGACGGCATGGTGCGTGATACACTGCAGCATACGAGCCCCTGCCGTATGGCACTGATTGATGGCAAGTGTACCCAAAATGTAGCACTGATACGATTAGAGGAAAATTCGCCTTTCGATACTCTTTAAACTCGCCTACCACACAAACCTCCACAATTTCTAGGCAGCTCGTGCTGCGAGACTGGAGCGCCACAGGCTGGCTGGCGCCGGCGGTGCCCACAGCAGAGACCCCAAGTGAAGACTGAGCTCTCGTGCCACACCAGCCGCGGTGTGAGCGCAGCTCCCGTCTGCCTGGCCCCGATCTGCTGTCAGGGGCCTCAGAGGCCTCTCGGTGCCGCGGCCCCGACCGGCCGTCTGCTGACGCCGGGCGCGCCCACAACAGAGGCTCCAGGTGGAGACCGAGCGCTCGTGCCGCTCCAGCCGCGGTGTAAGCGCAGCCCCCGTCTGCCTAGCCCCGATCTGCCGCCAGGGCCCTCAGCGGCCCCGAGGTGGCGCCGCGGCCTGGACCGGCCGTCTGCTGACGTGTGGGGTTTTCACGCGGCGGGGCCACGCGAGCTTTCCTCCGGCCGGGCGGGGACTTCCTGCCCGATTCCCGGCCCGGTGAGCAGCGCACGCGAGCACCCGAGTGGCTTACGATGGCGTGCGATGGGCTCCTGTGGTATGTATGCACATGAACAGGTACACCTACGCACGTACGAGTGCAGCCAGGGCCGCGTTCCTGCTTTGTCTCACATGACGCCAGTGGCTTAGAGACTGGGTCTTGGAAATACATGAGTAAACCATGCATATGTAATCAGTGCTAAATAGATAATACATAAATGATGTATTATCATATCGAACCCTCGTGTATTCATAAGTCATTCTAAATTGATCGACCTGTGCATTGCCACCATCACACGGGGACATATCCATCCAAACCAGTTCATGCATCACGCCTATGGTGCAGCATGACAAGAAATTCAAAAGGCTCTCCTCCAGATTCCCACCTGCGGCGGAACCACTTTGTCTGTGTAATTTCCTTGCTAAATCCAGCTATGTCCATTCGTGGACCCTTGGCCATTAGCATGGGCCGGAAACAATTTTACTGTGCAAATGTTTACATCTCATCATATTCCGAGAAGCTTTATGTTTGATATTTTTTAACATTCTTGTTTCCTGCAGGTCATGATTGCACGTCATGTTTTTCCATATTGTAGGGATGTGCTGGAACCAGCTTTACGCATCGTTTGGCAACTTAATGTATTTCAAACAAATTAAGGCTTTGAAATAGAGGAATTGCTGAGCATTCAATGCGAGATCACAATCCTGATGCAAGAAGAAAAAATGTTTACCGCATAACAAAAAAGTCAAGTTTTTTGTACCGGGTATCGTCCGCTGAGGTCCATCAAATAAAGTTGAGTAGTGCCCCGCAATTGGTTTCGCCAGTTAAATTAATTGTGTCGACTTAACATCTCAAATGGCTCATCACACAAACGTATCACAACTGTCATAAGCAACGATTCCACTACTATTGCAGCCCCATCGCCCGGCACGGCGCTACTGAAAGCAGTTGGCGCCAGTGTCGTGTTGATCGCGCGCTGCCTCACTCAAGAGGAGCCTTTCCAATCCGACCGGAGCATGCGCAGCTTTCCCCGGCCAGTGGTCCGGCCCAGATCACCGGAAGTGGGTCACATCCGGGTCTCATGCCAGCTCCCGGCGAGCCGGAGGCCCGCTGGCCGGTCCCAGCGCCTCGCGCGCCAGCGGTTACTGCCCAGTGCCCGTCTGCCGGGGTGAGAAGATGTATACCGGCCTGAGGGCCTCCTCAGTGAAGCGTGAATAAGTAGCGCAGGCTTAGGTGGAAGTCGCGCCGTGAGGGCTCTGGTTGACGCTGTGCTGGCCAGAAAGCGTTAAGTGATGTGCTAGACGCAGCCGCCTCGGACTGTGGTTGTGAATGGTACAGAAGTCTGCTCTCCCACATCATTAAACCGGTATGGTCGTTTCGTAACTCATAGCGGTAGTAAACGTAACAACCCAAGTGATTCGACTAAAAATGGGGTCAAGCTCGTCATGTTTTATGTCGCGCGTATCTAACGCCAGTCGCTGCCGCGCCGTTCAGTCGCGGAGGTGGGGCCCCGTCCCACAGTTGGCTGGCTAGGCGTCGTATAAACCTTCCTTCATGTGGGGCCCCCGTCCCAGAGCTGGCTGGCTAGGTGTCGTACAAACCATACCGCCAGGTGGCCCCCGTCCCAAAGCTGGCCGGCTTGGCGTCGTATAAACCTTACCTTCACATGGGGTCCCCATCTCGAAGCTGACTGGATGGGCATGGTACAAACCTTATCGTCGGTGAGAGAATCCAAGCCAAGTGAGATCCAATCCAAATCCAAGTGAGACAATCCAAGTTTGTTTACAGCTCGGCTGTTCTTTGATCCGAATACGAATATGAACGCAAAAAATGGGTAAGAGGTGATTGGCCTTGTTGCATGGTCAGAAACTGTGCTCCCGGAGTTACGTATGGTTGGTTCTGTCCGCAGCACTGCTTTAAGCATGCTGGCTTCGCGTACCAAACACCAGAGAAAGCGATCGAATAGGACGGGATCGAGACGACGTGACCAGGATAAGATTAAGAGACCAGGAGCGACACTTCACCCTGAAGAAGAACTTCCCTAGGACTACAGAGTCTTCCCCAGCCCGAGCTCCAGCTCCGTGGGACCCCCCACCCCCCCACCCAACCCCAACCGTAACACCACCGAACTCCAGAGAGGATGTAACACATCAGCACAGACCACTCCACCCCTTGCCACAGGCGGCGCGCCGCGCGGCCGGCGCGCCGCGCCCGCTCAGGTGGCCGGCCGCGGGCGCGGCGCGCGCCGCCTCGGTGGGAGCCGATGCAGAACATCTGTGTCAAGGCGGCTGCCCTGCACGCCGCCTCGTGCCGATGGTCGCAGGCGCCGACCCGGACCGCCCCCGCCGGCCGCCCGTGCCTGCAACTGGATCACGGACAGTGGCCGCCGACAATGAGAGGCTTTTCTTATCGATCTGATCGTCAGAGCTGGGGCCTTGTCTCGGAGGGTGCCCTGGCGGGGTGCTTTCCCTGTTTGTATTTACTCCGCTGATAAGTGACTCGGCTTGTAAAGTACCTCATCAGATATGCCAGACTGACCTGTGGTTCTTGTGCAGGGCTTCTAGGGTCACTAGGTCTGGTTTTGGGTGTGTCGTAATGCCCCGCATCTGAGGCGTCAACAACTTCGAGTGTATCGCCCGTCATTGTCTTATCGCACGTTTTTAAGAAATGTAAGCACGCTGGGTGCAATAGTCACCGCTGATGGCTTCGTATCAGTGACAATCAGACTGATATGAGCCGTTATCTTTCCTGTGAACTATGTAAGACTAAAACTACAAGACCGGCTCTCTAAATATGACGAATAGGTCTAATACCAGCATGTAGTTTGGGTCCTTCGGGACTTGCATTGTTTCTTCCACGCTTTCCTTATCCGAAGCATGTGACAAAGCTGGTAACCCAAAGTTGGTTCTTCTATGTAGTACATCTTTCAAGACATTCCTGCCCCATGAGCTATGCCGAGCATCGACTGCTTCAAGTTCGAGTAAGGAACTCCGAAGGTAAAATCAGATTTGTATTGCGCAGGGCCATTGATCTGGTGTAGATAAATATGTTTTATGGCTCTTAGAAAGTGCCCGTCTCATTTGAAGCCCCGGTAATATTTACCTTTTTGTCCCAAGCAATAGCATTCACACCAGAAAACCGATTGGTACTTGATGCGCACTCTTAAACTGCACTTTGTAACACATTATTTTTTACGTAAATGTGTGCTTGTCGTTGCAGAGATTTAGTTCCAATGTTGAGCCCGAACGGGATAACCGATTTCGGGGCTGAACAATGCCGTTCGAGTTGTCTTTGGGGTGAACTGTGCGGTGCCTATCTTGCTTGCAACGTGCCTTGTTCCCGACGGTCCGCTTTCAGCCCAAAGGGATGCCGGGCATTGCGCATGGGCGAAATAACGTGATAGCAATCAAGCGTTCCAAAAGGATCATTCATTCCATAGCGCGATCGGCGATGAACCGGAGATCTCAGCTTATAGGTATATGCCGATCCGTATGGATAGTGCCGGATGCATAACATTAGCATCCCAGATCGAGGACCATCTTGGAGAATCGATGTGTTGACTATTTCGCGATGGTGAATGTTACTGGAAAGGCTGCAGAGGCCGGCATTAGACTAGATGTGAGCTGGAGGAAGCACAAAATGAGTTACAGTGTATTTTGTAGGTGGTGAAGGCATAGGCGCTAGTGGTAAGATAGTCAATAGTCTAGTGATGACGGTAGAGACCAATACACTTGGCTTGAAATCCCGGAATGAAAAAGGAGGCTTGGTGATGACCAGGCCCATAGCTGAGTAGATGATGTCGTTTGAAATATGCACGGTGAATCAGCACTTCGTACCATACAAGGTCAGACCGTTTTGTTAACCAGTGCAACTGAGTGTTGCCAGCTGGTACTGCATGACTTTATAATTTCTCCTGAGATGCGCAGTCACTGAAGTCAGCAAGTCGATGCAAGCTGACGTCAGCGCAGCCAGATGTACCCACAGCGAAAAAGTGAGCTAAGGTGTTTGGTTTTGTTGCGGTAGACTCGTGCAATCACCAACTATTAAAGGCAAATGTCAATGACCGAGTGGAGACAAATGTTATTAAGACTCATTTCGACGACAGGATGTGAGTATTTTGACGAAATCTTTGGCAGTCGGGATAGCCGACCACCATACCACGAATATGATGCAGACGATAGTTAGCTGAAACCCATGCCAGCTCGCTGCCGATGACATGTGCTGCCAGCTGGTAGAAGTACTAAGACACTGGTTTCGTCTGCCCAAGTCGCAACGGTGCTGCTTTCCTCCACGAGCGGAACCTCGGGTGGGGGTGAGCAAAAAACGTAGAATGTAATCTGTTTAGCCAATTCTCTAAACTGAAAATTAAGAGTCACAGCTAGCTCCAAGCAAACACCCCTTGTCTGCACTAGTGTTGTATGCACACTACAGGTCACTTAGTGACCTGTAACGATGTTTAGTTCACTTTAAACGCCCCAAGCATTCTTTTTTGGCGAAGCAAGCTTGCGGGCGCCTGTGTATCGCTAAACTTAGTGCAAGTACCAGAAAAACGTGTTCAAGCCGCTATCAACCGTATCCAAGAAAATCAGAAGGCTGGCACTTGTTTGTTTTACTCTTACTAAAATATTATCATTAATTATTTGACATCGGCCTCCCGGAATGAAAAGCTGTCTCTCGCGAGACTTCAACGTACCATACAATAGAAACACGAACTGCTTCGATCTTTACTGATTTCACTTTACACTGCAAACAACAGAACTGTGATAAAGGTAAAGAATTTCCAAGCAATGACTTGCATGGACGAAATGCAAGCGTCATGTTCATGAAAGCCGCTCGTTGTCTTTCTTAGTATGTGAAAAGCACCCTGCTCCCAGCCACCCCGTGATGGAGCCGCGTCGCCGACAACGACTTGGCCCTCCGCCTGACTGTGACGCTCCCGCGCCCATGTGACTATAGCTCACCACCAGCGCACGTGACGCACCCACTGCGTGAGTCGGCGGCACCTCAGGTGGCGGCCGTCTGTCACCCCTGACCTGACCTTCCCACCCGCCCGGGCGCTGCGCCGGCGCGCCAGCCTGTCCGCCGCGGTGTAGCGCGCGCGGCCGCGGCCGGGCGCGCCGCGTCTGGGTCAAGGTCGGCCCCCGTGGTGAGGTGCGGTGAGCGCTGCGCCTCGGCGGGCGGCGGCACCGAGGCCACCGGCAGCGTGATCGGCAGATAAAGCCGTCCGGGAGAGAGAGAAAGAGAGAGAGAGAGGGAGAGAGGGAAGAGAGAAAGAGGGAGGGGGAAGGGAGGGAGGGAGGGAGGGGAGGGAGGGGGAAGGGAGGGAGGGAGGGAAGGAGTGAGGGAGGGAGGGAAGGAGTGAGAGAGAGAGAGAGAGAGAGAGAGAGAGAGAGAGAGAGAGAGAGAGAGAGACAGAGAGAGACAGAGACAGAGAGAGAGAGAGAGAGAGAGAGAGAGAGAGAGACGGGGTGGAGAGGGAAGAGTGAGCAAAAGGATTGGAGGGAGAGAAGCTGTGGGGAAACTAAGGAAGAGGAAGAATGGCAGCTAACTTGAGGAGGATGTAATAGGTGAGGAGGGTGATAGAGGGCTGGAGGAATATGCAGAAGAGAGGGAGTGGAACTGGATGAAGGAGTGAGAAATATGGCGAGAGCAAGAGATATAAAGGAAAAAACGGTGAGAAAGGAAGGGGAGACAGAGAACCAGAGAGGGAAAGAGGGAGAGGGACTAGTGCTAGAATAACCGTTGTCATTTAGGTCACTTGGATATACAACGATTCCTCGCATTCAGTTAGCATGTCTGTGATGCGATCTCCCAAGATTTGCGTTTTCCCTGCATTGAAGCACAGCCAGCCATTTCAACTACCCCTACGTGGAAACTAACCTCTTCGAAAAATGCATAAACTTTTGCTGGGGGAAACACTGGTTCTTCAATAAGACAACACAACAGGAAACATATAAAAATAAGTTGCAGGACGGTTTTCTGTTTTCCTTTTTACTCGTTGGTGCCGAGCGCCACAACAGACTGCTGTTCACGGGTAAGCAGTCGGACTGGCCGCTTATACATTTGTATATGCACGCACACACACACACACACGCACACATGTATATATATATATATATATATATATATATATATATATATATATATACGTTTATGTGTATATACATGTATATGTGTGCGTACACAATTTATCAACTATGCAATTTAGTATGTGTATTAATAAATAAAAATAATATATGTATACATATATCTGTTTATATTAAGTACACACACACACATATATATATATATATATATATATGTGTATATATATTGTGTATAGCACCGTATATATACATATATAAATATATATGTATATATATATATATATATATATATATTATCTAATATTGTGTGTGTGGTGTGTGAGTGGTGTGTGTATGTGTGTTTGTGTGTGGTGTGTGTGTGTGTGGTGTGTGTGTGTGTGTGTGTGTGTGTGTGTGTGTGTGTGTGTGTGTGTGTGTGTGTGTGTGTGTGTGTGTGTGTGTGTGTGTGATGCTTTTTTCTAGCGGCTATAGATAAGAATATGCTGTCTTACGCATGTCAGGAATTAGTAAACGACTCAAACGATAGTTGCCTTCCTTTGAGAGCATACACACGTAAAACATTTTTCCCCATATCGGCTATTGCCACACTCGTCCGTCCCCCAGCGTAGGTAGGAATGAAAATATACTAGGTCCATGATCAAGAGATCGGTGAGAAACCGAAGCTTCACTGTTACCGTTAGGGCATTGGGAGCGCGGGTAGGACAGAACGTGACGGTGCTGTTCTGTTCTTTCGTGCAGTCTCCAACTTGGCCGGAGACTGCGATGCGGCTGGGCCACATGTAACCGGTGTGTCGCTTGACATTCACTTGCACGTGACGTTTTTGTTGAACGATCAGTTTGCTGCGGCCAGCATCCATGTGTGGGTGCTAAAAATGGATATGACATTACTTGCTACACCAGGTGTTGCCGTTTATGCTCTTCGTTGGATAATAGCGGTTTTCAGAGATTTCGCCATAGACCACGGCCGAGCTGGGCTCACATGAACTTTTTCATTGGGTTGGGATACCACACTCCATCAGATGCATTCATCAAGCTGTAAATATCCAGTGAAACCACGTCGATCTTCTTATAACACAGCATAAGCATTCGACGATAGTTTGAGGCCATGTTCACAGTGTCATAGGAAAGTGAAAAAGAGTGGGGTGCCTCCTGGATCCTACACGGAGGGTTTTGTGTCTTCTGTGCTGTGCTGTGCTTTCCAGTCTGTGTCATTTCTCGTCAGTTTTCCTGCAGTGTCACCAGTGTTTCTTTCTAACGGTTGCTGTGTTTCCAGAGCTGCTCACAATGGGGCTGGGCCGAGAGATGGAGGGGTGCGGCCAGTGCGTCAAATACCTGCTGTTCATCGCCAACTTCCTCATACTGGTGAGGCAGAGCAGGCGTATCTCGTACTGGTGAGAGAGCGCCGGTTCATTTCGTATTGGTGAGAGAGACGGCTCATTTCGTACTGGTGAGAGAGCGTCAGCTCATGTCGTGCTGGTGAGGTAGCACCGGCTTATGCCGTATTGGTGAGAAGGCACCTGCTTGTGCCGTATTGGTGAGAAAGCACCGGCTCATATCGTACTGGTGAGAGAGACGGCTCATTTCTTACTGGTGAGAGAGCGTCAGCTCATGTCGTGCTGGTGAGGTAGCACCGGCTTATGCCGTATTGGTGAGAAAGCACCGGCTCATATCGTACTGGTGAGAGCGACGGCTCATTTCGTACTGGTGAGAGAGCGTCAGCTCATTTAGCACTGGTGAGATGGAGCCGATTCATTATGAAGTCAACATCTGTTCATGAAGACGCAGAGTGGTGCGGGTTGCCTGGACACGAAATTACCGCCTCTGGAACATGAGATAACAATTCCTGCCTGCGAAAGTGGATAATACACTACGCTATGCGTCATAAAAGCTCTGACTAGCGAATGAGTGAAGGCATAAACACCGCAACGGCATCACGCTCGATCATCCATTAGAGGATAAATGCTCATCAAGAACATTTATTCTGACATGCTTAAATAATCCATCATTATTGTAGACATAACATAAACGACCTGGGTGCCCCACTACTTTGTCGTGATTTCAATCACGGCGGGGAGAATCGAAACACTTGATGAATCATGGCACTATACTCGTGCATGCATATATAACTGGCTGGTTAGTAAACCATAGCAGCAATACTGTCACCTCGATGGTTTGTCACATTAGCGTGGTGTACAGTGCCTTTTGCTTGCGAACTTATAAAATTGTTTATCGAATTGCAAGATTTGGTGGCAGTCAATAATTGTCATCTAAATACGCTCATCAGACTAGTGTCTGTGTCTCGTTCAAATGCTTCAGATATTGAATAAGTGAAATTGTGCACAAGAAAGATCGGCAAAAATATCATGTTATTCAACTAACTAATGATGCCATGTGACGACTGCTGTCAATGACGGATTAGTTAGATCTTAAGATGGTTTAACTGTGCCGAAAACAGTACTGCTCAGACCATGGAAAATGCACGAAGTACAGGACAAGTATGATGAACCAATGAATAGTGACTCCACGGGCGATGCATCCGGCAGACCACGCTCATCGAAACATGCATCAATTAGTTGTGCGCATGACCCAGTTTGTTGTCGACCGAGGCACAAACTTTGATGTGTTTTATCGTTTTCATTTTTTATATTTTGCACTTGTTTTCATCACGGTGAGCACATTCCGTATCGTTGCCAACGCTACAGTACTTTACTATGGATAGATATGTGTTTTTGTGCCTTTCGGCTTTTTTGGCTGTACTTAACCTGAGTCTAATCATTGTTTCAACTCCCACACACGCTGTCTGGGAACAAAAGGTACAGTTTCTGTGGCAATATCCGTATCACAATTACTTCACTCGTCAATCAAGTGTTTTCCACCACGCTCCGCCCAAACAACTTAGCAGGAAAGATACGTGCATCGTGACAGCTTTCACCGGAGCGGCATCATCGAAGCCGGCATCACGTTAGGTGTACACAACAAAGGCGTAGGGCAGACGTATGCCACTAGGCCTGCCAACAATGTCGATAACCTTTTTACCAGCGAATCAACACCCAAAAACGAGTGACCGGTGTTAGGGTTGTGTTATGATCTCCACTTTCCCTTCTGCATTGCCATGTAGCGGTACATAGGTCCGATGTATCGTCGTGTTTCCGGAGCTGAACAGGATGATGCGTGTCATCCACAGAATGTCGCTTCCAAAGACTGCCACAACGCTAGTCATTACATTTTGAGGCACTGTTCGTCAGTGGATGATCTGTACGATGGTACCCTGATCCACCTCACTGTGTGTGGGAAGACCAACGATATGCGATCGCACACCAGATGCCATGCAGCAGCTTCGACTCATTGATGCAAGTGACTGGACACATGCTTAGCAAGCGCCGAACAGCAAGCAAACGACACGACAGGGCCACTGCAAACATTTTTGGAGCTCTCGGAAAAGAAGCGGTTGGGCATTACAGTTACTGCACCTTATACATCAGCTAAATAAGCACACATCCGTACTGGCCTTGAAGGCGTTTTCTGTGCAGCGAGACCGAGCAGTTGTCATCTTCATCGCGACGCACTTACCGATCTGCCGACATACTGGGGCTGGGCAATGCAAATAACGTGGTCCCACCGGTATACGTAATGACAATTTAGTTGCAGCATCCTTCTCCGGATGTATTCTGCGCATTGAAGACGAGCGGACGAAGCTCCGGCTCCCCTCTGTGAGTTCAACGTGTCGACACCGACAACCGGCGCTGCGTTCAGCCGTTGCCGGGCGTAAGCCAATGCACGGGCATCCACGTAGCCATCCGCTGACGCCACCGACGACCCTGTCCGCAGATCGGCGGCATCACGGTGCTGGTGGTGGGCGTGTGGACAGTGGTGGACAAATCCGAGTTCGAGAAGCTGCTCGGCACCGACCTGTACGTCTCGTCGGCCTACATCCTGATCGCCACCGGCGCCATCGTCTCCCTGGTCGCCTTCCTGGGCTGCCTCGGTGCCGTCAAGGAGATCAGATGCATGCTGCTGACGGTGAGGCTGCGGTGGGGGTGCTCTGAGTGTACGGTGAGGCTGCGGCGGCGGTGCTCTGAGTGGACCGGCCTTGTCTGTTGTGTATATCACAGGGGCAAGATGCCAAGCTCTGCAAACATCCGCGCCCGCGCGATCTTTGCTGCAAGTGAAAGGCAGCATTGCTTATCGAGAGAAAAGCATTGTTCCGGGCTGGGTAGACGCATCTCTGCCCTTTGCTCGTCTTCCATGGCTGTCCTTGCGCACGGTGGGCTGACCGGTAATTTGTATTCGCTGCTGGAGATCTACATTTCTGACATCCCTCTCCCCTCGCCTCCCTCCCCTCCCCTCTCCCCATGCAACAGAGTCCACCGGCGGTGCAGAAGTGTCCACCTGGCTGACAGCCCTCATCTGTCACGGTTGCGCGAAAGGCTCGTCAACAGACCACAGCTCTGAAGGCCAGCGCTTGTCCGTCCCCAGTACAGCATTGCTGCCGTTCATCACCACTGTGGTACCGCCCCTCCGCCCAGTCCTGGCATGGCACCGAAATGTGATCATCATGATGGGCTAACTGTATGGGGCTGCTGCAGGCGTACGAGCAGTGAAGCATTTTGTGCACGTCCAGTTAATCGTGACACTCCGCCCTCAGTACTTCATCATCCTGCTGGTGCTGTTCGTCGTGCTGCTCGTCGGCGGCATCCTCGGCTACGTGTTCAACGAGCGCGTTGAGGACACCATTACCACCAAGATGACGGCTGAACTGGACGAGTACAGCACGAAACAGGGCATCAAGGACGCTTGGGATGCTGCACAGAGCCAGGTAAGCGGCGGCCACGGCAGGTGCAGCAAGATGTCACTTAACGCGCGCAGGTGCTGACGTTGTAGGCTGGTGTGGTAAGGGCGCCAGGCAGAATTATTATAAAATATCGCCATTAAAATTGATGTATTTGGAATGTCCACCCAGATAGAACATCAGGTTCGAATCAGATACAGATTAATTGCTCACATAAGGTACTTCTCTTCTTCTAAAAACAAAGTTCTGAAACATAAACGCTTCATTGATATCGACACCGCCGTCTGTCGCTCCTGCACATTAACTTATACAGGACTGTTCAGCGGAGGATAACTCTCGGTCGGAGGGCACGGAAGAGGTCACAACACGGTTCGTGCCACCGGAGCCATATGTGTAGCGTCGTGATCCTGAAAGTATGGCTGGCCGTAGGACGCTCGTCTCACGCAGTTGTGTACAGTATTATATTGTTCGTGGTTCAGTGGCTGGTTTGCTTCTCCCCACCTGTGATTTTGTCTCGAGCAATGAGCGTGATTCTTTATGATGGGGTTCGGGCAGCCGTGTCATGCGCTCAAGTCACGGAGGCTCTTTGGAGCCGGGTTTTTAATAGCCCTGATCCGCCTCAGAGCCCTGTCATGATAAAAAAAAATAGCGGAAAATCCAGGCAAATATACTTCAAGAGAGACCACGACGTTCTGGAGACGTTACTTTATCATCCCCAAACCGAAATTTATCGTGAATCGGCGCTTCTGGGCCTGTGTCGTGGGCGGCATGAATAATAGCACCTGCGCTCTGCCCTGCCCTTGGACACTACCTCGAACGTTGGTTGCCAGTGGTGTTTGCCATGACCTTGCCCACTCCAAGCGAGGCTAATCCCCACCAGTCGGCCAGAGTTAAGTAGCTGCAGCCCCCTCCCCCCGACCGTCTTCCCGGCTCAGGCTGGCCCTGTACCGTCACCGACTAGTCCTGACCCATCCCAAGCTGGTAGTCATCATGCCTGCTGCTCTCCTGGTGACAGATCCTGCGCAATCTCCATCGCGTCTGTCGCTGATCCTACCTAACACGTCCACCATCCACCAGCAGCCAGAGCGCCGATGACATTAGATCCCCCCCCCCCCATGCCCCTGACCTCGCCCTTCCCTGACGCCGTCCACCATCCACCAGCAGCCAGAGCGTCGATGACATCAGATACCCTCCGCGCGCCCCTGACCACCCCCCCCCCCCCCCTAACGCCGACCACCATCCACCAGCAGCCAGAGCATCGATGACATCAGATGCCCCCCTCGCCCCTGACCCCACCCCCACCCCCTCGTGCGGTCCACAGATGAAGTGCTGTGGCGTGGACCGGCCAGAGGACTGGAAGGGCCGTGTCACCCCGCTGCCGGCCTCGTGCTGCCCCAAAGGGACGGCCGAGCCCTGCACGGAAGCCAACGCCTTCCAGATCGGCTGCAAGGGCCGCATCAAGGAGTTCGTCACGGCGCACGCCACCGTCATTGGTGGCGTCGGCGTCGGCATCGCGTGCGTCATGCTGCTCGGCATGATCTTCGCCATTGCGCTCTTCAAGATGATTGAGTGAGGCACGCTAAGGCCGTCGAAAGGCTGAAGCATTCGCCGCAGCTGCGGACCGTCTTTCGTCGCAGTGGTGGTGCGTCGGCGTATCGCGAGGAGTATTGCAGCGTCGTTTGTTGGTGCGGACGCTCGAACCGGGAGACAGGTCACTGTTGGGAGGTCGGAGGGGTGCTGTTGGACGGTGCCAGGCGCGAGGGTAGGACGCGGACCATACTGGATTGTGAGAGGAATGGGCGCAGGGGCGTCAGTAAGTCCACAACTGCCCCTCCTCGAGAGGCTTGTCTCAGGAATGCGTCGTCCACTGGAATGCCTTCAGAGCGGTTCGCGAAGTGACGTTACGGTTTGAAGAAACAGGGGCGTTGTAAGAAGAGTAAGTCTCCATGGCGACCCACTCAAACCAAAGCGCCAATGCCACGCGTACAGACGCCTGGGCGAGGCCACTCTGAGTGGCTCGCGTCTTCGGCGTGCCGTTGCCCCCGACAGGATGCAAAGCGGCGGAGTCCGGTGGAAAGCAGCTCAGGTTCCGCATGGGGACCGCTTCACAAATACGACCGGGGGAGAGAGCATTCGCCCCGGTGAAAGCGTCGGGACTGAGTCATTTCTGGATTTGTTTGGCATGGCGATGACGTCATGTTTGAGATTCTTCACATAAGGTCAAACGAAAACATTCCTCTGACTCACATATAATTGAAGAGATATTGCTGGTTTCATGGTGAACGATGTGTACGGAATTCTTTTCGGCGAAACAATGGAAGGGCGTGGTGGTGTCGCGGATGCGGGGTGTGTCGTGTTCTTCGTGTGTATATGTCGCACTGCATGTATTTCACACCATGCGCTCTTATTCGCGGCGGTGATCCTAAATAGCGCAACGACATATTCCGGCTGATAGCTGCATGGTCGGCACGTAGTGCCTGGACTTCAAGTAAATGGCAACCACTTCAATGTGCCTTGCATCATCGGAAACCGTGGGCGCCACATGTTGCGTCGCTGTTGTTCCTGCTGCGCATCAAACGCGGATACGTGACGAGAGCGCGATAGTCACGTACCGGCCGCGGCCTCGGCACTGTTCGCACATAATACACCGTTGTATAGCACCCCGGAGTCTGTCTGGCCGGCCGGCTTGTATCTAACCTCGCCATGGGGTGCCCCTTCCCCACCCCCACCCCGCCCCACCCCGCCCACCGATGTGGGTCAGCCGCCGCCGGTGCAGATCAACCGCGTCTCGTGCCGATCGGGAGCAGCGGCTGGAACACGGCGGTCTGGTTCAAGGTCGGCGATTGTGCTACCCCCGTCAGCACGCGCCCACGAGGCAAAGGGAGGATGACAAATGTGGTCGGACCAGCACAGGGAAGTACCACACACTGCAGTGCATCATGAAGAGGGCCTTGCTTCTTTAAAGTTGTTGCATCGACTGATATGTGTCAGTGCACCTGTGTAAGGTACAAGCACCTCAACTTCAGTAGTATCTACGCTATGCACCATGCAGAGGCGTTCCGCAACGGAAACCTTCACCTTGAAAAGTTGCAGGTAAAAGTCATGGGCGGTATGACAGAGTTCAGCCGTTTGCAGTGATGTATCTAGAGGGAGGTCATGCCCCCCCCCTCCCCTCTCTCTCTCCGCTTGACTTCGAAGGGACCTATAAACGGCCAAACGGACGCCGTTTTTAAACAAAGCATTATAAAGATAGAAGCTTTTGGGCCTTCAGGTGACCAAGACCAGTCGCAGGCAAAAGTGAGGGTCCGTGAGCATGCAAAATTGATTTTTCGCGCATAACGATTGGTGATAGTGATCTCGCTGGTGGTAATTGGGGGAACGTTGAGGCCTATTGCGCCGTATAGACGCCCTACGCTGTTGCTGGAGGCCCTACTATTCATTTGCCGGGACCGACGATCCATCGACCGATCGCCGGGACGGGACCGACGATCAAGGATCCGACTGGAGGGCCTAAGGGCAGGAGGGGCTGGCCAGAGTCTTATTTAGGGGCCCCGGCCCGAGAGGACAGGACCTTAAGTGACAGTCGTAAGGCCCTTGGTGCTGAGCGAGGACCTCCTGAGTCGATAAGGGCCTACATGTTGCTAAGGCACCACCAGTTCCGCACCTCCGTTGCTTAGTGAAAAAGGAACACCAATCAGACTTGTTCACCACATGCTTAACGCATTTTGAAATGTATGATATCTTGTACTCATTCATTCAAGCTAAAACAACAACTCTGCGTTAGACATCAACCATCAGCTGGTCACATTGACTGGCTGGCTAGCCCCCGGAGTCAGCTACTCGTAACTTAACTTGAAACAAAGTCTCTCGTGACTGATTTTGATGGGTTTAGCGGCTAACTTCAGCCCATTTGGCCATATCGTTCCCGAAATACTTGGCCTCAGAATGACAGGATCAATCATGCTCCAGAAAAAAAAAATGAGCGCGTCCCATGCCTGTACACACGTACCACGCCTAGTTTTCTAGGACTGTGCACGGGAAAAACGTATCCTGTGTAACAAACAGCATGCATAGAAATCGTAAATGCAGTGCTATGAATGCAAGGATTTCTTCATTCGGAAAGAGCATAAAAACTCCAAGGGGTTCATAAAGTTCCGTGCCCCTTCTCCCCCCCCCCCCCTCGAAAGAATCCTGGATTCGCCACTGGCCACTTGGGCAACAAGGAAGCTGACATTTTTCTCATGTCATTGCACACGTGCTTTGAAGCTCACCATCCGTAGCTCCTCACTCGCTCAGGTTCGACCAATCAACATCGAGCACGATGGCGGTCATCGGCTAACCCACCTTCAGTGCGCCTCGGGTAAGACAAATCGGACCAGCAAGCGATGTGAGGGTTCGGGGTCAAAGGGCGATGGAGGGTAGCGGGGCGGGGCCAGCGGGGGAGAGAGACGTCTGACAGCACTCATTCATATGTATGTCACGGATAGAACAATTGCTCTAACTATCGGCCTCGTCTGGTGTCTTAATGTGTGCACCACATTTTGGCCAGTTGGCCCTCCGGGCGTCGCCAGGTGTTATAGGTCCTGCGGACTGGGCGATGTTTGGAAATATTGTCCAGTCATCCAGGAAATATCGTCATTATGTTTGGAAGCATTATGCAGTCATCCAGAAAACATCATCATGATGTTTGGAAACATCATTCAGTTATTCTCAGGACTCAATGACACGTGACGGCGGCCGGAGAGTTAACTGGCCAAAACGCGTGCATACTGATACACTAAACGACGATAGCCCCACCAGCTATGACATCTAAAACGTAAATCCTAAAACATCTCCTCAATCCTTCCGAACAACTATCATATTGATTTCTTTGGCATCCCACTGAGCGAAATCTATCACGCTGGTCAAGAAAAGAAAGTAACAGCATGCCAACCCTTGACTGTTCTCAACATTGCGTTAACACACTGATAACCGATGGCTGTGCCAAACGGCTGCATCGTTCGGTGTGTGTTTGCAATCGGTGAGATACGTGATGCTGGGATCGCGTTTCTTACACAGTTGATGTATAGCCGTGCCTTGGCGCTAATTACCCCACCTTACCACTGATCCAATATCCCTTCTGATCCGCCGCACGTTACGATCATCATCTCCTCCCTCCCCCTCCCCTGGTCGACGAAACTAGGCCAAACTTTGGAAGGCTACGGCAACGATTGCAATGCTAACGAAAGAACTCGGGGTCTGCCGTCCCTTTGGGATTTGGGATCTTGCCATTACGAAAATTTTGTGTGCGCTTCTGGCGCCACAGAGTTGTGATTTTGCCACATTGCAAGGCAGCCTTGGAATGTGGCAAATGAGGCGCTTCCCCGTGCCCTTTGAAATTACCTGGTGACTGGAATCTGCTCATGCATTCTTTACGTGTATTCCAGCTATGTGTGCCGTGTCGGAAAACAATGCATGAATGAATTAGTGGCTGGATGCATTCCAGCTACACATACGGCTCGGAAACCGAGCCATGAAGAGGTCAGTTCTCCTTGGATATTTAAAATCAGATAGTGTCTGCCCTCAGGTAGGGATAAAGAGAAGTTATGTTGGCGCGTACATCGCGACGCACAGAACCGGGGTGAGAACAGAGCTGATCACTGAGCTGACCGAGAACACAGCGTTGGCACAGTTACGATGAGAAGGTAGTGAGAAGTGTAATTTATCATTAGATAAGAAGTATTTGCTTATGTTTTCTATTGATCCCTCCATGCCGTTTCAATAGTTCAGAAATGTATTGCCTTTTCAAAACAGCTCTGGTAACACGGAGCTGGCACTAGGCTGGTGTCCGGTTGAAGCGTCATCACTTCGTCATTACCGGTAACAGGAGTAAGCAAATCACAGTCCGTATTCAAAAGCTCCACTTCTCCTTATCTGCAACCGTACCCTTGCATAAGCGTGACCAGCCGTTCCGCCACCATAGACAACTGTAGCCCGGGTATGGCGCGGCGCCATTGTCTTTGACAGCTTATGTTTGTCATTGTTCACGAACAGTTTCGGGCCCGCTGACTGCAGAGGTTGCTTTGCACCATCCAGGTTCGCCAGCTCAGCTGACGCCATTTTTAGCTTGGTTTATAGGTTGTTGAGATTCAATGTCGTTTCACTGTAGCGTCAACGCACGATAATAACAACTTAGCGGTCAGTTCTCAACTACAAGCGTGATACCAGTGATGCGACCACATAAACTTACGCTCATGTCACCATTCACATTTTGATGCCAATCTATATCAGCTACATCACATGAAAGCTCATGACTCATATCAATTTACATAGTGGTGTATTACGTTTCATATGGGTACAAATCGCTTCGCACCAGCACATGACAGGGATGTGTAGGATTGCGCTCGCGACCAATCGTATTGTATGTGCATTGTGTTGTACTTGCTCTATCTGATAATGCAAAGGACTTTGTTTCGGCGCGTTTTCTGTGCCCGCAGAACTCTGCTAAAAGCCCTCTACCGCGCAAGATCTCGCAACACTCGAGGAATCGAGAAAACAACTCAGCGGGAAGCAGCCCCTCAAGATAGTGGGGGGAGGGGGTAACAAACGGCGTTGCGAGGCGGCACTCTGCTCAGCAGTTCCAAGGAAAACAAAGTGGGACAGAATTCAGTCATCGCACTGGTATCAAAATACACCAAGCATCATCACATATCAGTACACCTACGCGGGATTCCACCCTGGGACGTGTGACTCGAGCCCTGCCAGCACTCCGCGGCCACGACAACCGCCACAACCACCGTAGCTTTCGCGTTGGTCCATGGCCACCCAGCGGCACAACCGCCGTAGCTGTCGCGTTGGTCCATATCCACCCAGGGGCACGACAACCGCAATGACAACCACCTTTTTAGCTTTCGCGTTAGTCCATAGCCACCCAGCGGTACGACAACCCCGTAGCTTTCGCGTTGGTCCATAGCCACCCAGCGGCAACCCATCAGCCGCATGCAGCATTCCAGAGTGTTCCACCGCAGTGTCCTACAACACACCAGCCACGGCGACAGGCAGCTCAGTACTGCGGCACACACCGATGACGGTATTGGGTGGAATGTCCGGGCCGCAGGGCATGGAGGGTGTCGTTTACCATATTTAATTTACCAGGCAAGAAAAAAGCCACGGACAGGCTTCACAATATGCAGACCAACAGATCTGATGCCCGCATTATTACGAAGCTGACGGCGCCATGTACCGATATCAAATTATTTCTGTTACGAATCGACACGAGTCATTTAGGTAGCAAAAACGGTAATTTGGCTATTACAATGCAGAGCACTTACGAGAAGCCACTAGGCGACATTCAGTCGGAGAAGTCTCAACACCGAGAATGTTCTCCATCAACAGCCCTCAAGTGACAGACAAATGACACCAGCCACCATTTAGTGTTCACGATGGCTAGCTCACGAGCTGGAACTTGCACTTGAGCTCGAGCTGTCAGTTGAGGGGCTCCTCCGATCACCATGACCGCCACCTCTGGCAGCGGAGTCACCCTGGTGCCCACCTCGACCGCGGTCTCCCGACCTTGACCCAGCGTGTCCAGCGTCGTCTCGTCTCGCACCACTGACGGATCTCGAGCGTCTCCTTCGCACATTTCCGTCACGACTCCTGGATCTCGAGCGTCTCTTTCGCACGTCTTCGCCACGACTCCTGGATCTCGAGCGTCTCTTTCGCACGTCTTCGCCACGACCCCTGGATCTCGAGCGTCTCTTTCGCATGTCACCGCCGCCACTCCTGGATCTCGACCGCCTCCTGCGTGCGTCCCCGCCGCTCGCGACCCCTGAAGGTATTTTCCTAGCTTCTCTTTCACGACTCCTGGATCGTGAGCGTCCCTTAATGTCCTCTCTCCTGTTGCTTACCGATCTTGAACGCCGTTTTCTCACATCTCCACCTCGACTTCTCGACCCCGAACGTCTCTTCGCCACTGCCCGATGTCTTCCGCCACTGCCCGATCTTGAGCGCCCCCTCTTCGCGTCTCTGTCGCGACTCCGAGACCTCGGTCGTCTCCTGTCCGCTGGTTTCCCGCCACTCGCAGACCTAGACCGCCTCTTCTTCATATCTTTGCCGCGGCTTCCTGACCTCGACGGTCTCCGATGTCCTCGCCGTCCACCACTCACAGACCTCGAGCGTCTCCCCTTCGCCTCTCTCCCGCGGCTGCCAGACCTGGGCCGTCCCCTGTGGTCGGACCGCGGCCGGTGGTCGGCCGCTCCACCGACCCGCTCCGTCACCGGCGAGCGCCGGCTGGGGGCGCCCAGCCGCGACCCCCGCTCGGAGGTCCTGCCATCTGTCGGCGAGGCGGAGCGGCGATCGTGATGCCCTCTGTGTCGCTGGTGGCTGTCGGCAGAGCGCGGCGCGGGGCTCGCGTCGTGGCGACCTTTCGAGCCATCTTTTACCCTCCGCTTCTTTCGGGAAGCCTCGTCAGAGTCAGATTCTGTCGAGCCAGACCTTTGTTTCTTTTTATGCCGCTTCTTACGATCCTCATCTGAATCAGAATCCGATGACTGCGCTTCCTTTTTCTTCTTTTTTTCTTTCTTTTTCTTTTCCTTCTTCTTCTTTTTCTTCTTGTGCCGCTTCCTCAGCTTCTCCAGCTCCTCTTTGTTTAGAAGTTTCAGCGGCGTCTCGTCGTCCGACTCATCCGAACTGGTAGAGCTGACGTCCAACACGCAGTCCTGAGGTAAGGCAGATTCGGTTACCGCCGCGGAAGACGACGGGCCTCAGTCTAAAGGTCGGTTCCGAAGTTGGCCTACGTCCGGCTAGCACAAAAACAGGGATTCACAAGGGACTCGTTGAACAGGTCTTACTGGTTGGATTGTAGCCTTCTCGCAAGGTTGCAATTGAAGCGCTTGTGCATGTTTCGTGAAGTTATCAATGGCCGAGCAGCCAATCGATGCATACAGATACATCAGCTAACACCAATCAGGACCATTTTGGACCAATGTGGTAAAAAGAAGCAAAGGCCGCCGTCGCATTGGAATGTCTACCCTCCACCACCCACCGCTAGATAAGCAAGACCGAACGATTGAACACGTCCCATACAACCATATACGAAAGAACTGAATTTCGACCGCAGTTTTGGCAGCAGAAGAGCATATTGTTGGCATCTCACGCAGCAAGGCAGCCTTTCCCTGGAATCCCTCTCCCTCCACCATGTCTCTCGTCTGTCGCCCAACAATGCGCCGCACCACAAACACAGATCTGGGCCCGCACCGTCTCACAGTCGACCTGCCGCAGCCTCATGCTCTCAGCAGTGTCACTGCTAGCGAGCGACGGGCAGAGCCAGACCAGTCAGCTGGAACATGCAGCGCCCTGGATTGCTGCGATGGAACAGGACTTACACGCCAGACGAGCAGATAGTACAGATACAGTCTCTGTCCACATGCAGCTCCCGTCACACATGGTGCTGGTAAAAGTCATGTCGTGAACTTAGGCTCGAAATGAGCCATCATCCTAGCCATTTCAGACCTGGCACTTCACCGCCCCTTAAACTGTCCGCTTTGATTTCGGGAGGTCCAGGTCACGAACTACAGCCCAAATGCAGCATCCCCGACGCCGCCCCGGGTGCCGGTCGGCGGTCGGCCCACCTGGGCGGAGGTGACCTGGATGAAGTTGCGGCACTGGAACGTCAGGTGGCCCGGGTAGCCGCACTTCTTGCAGGCCGGCCGGAAGTTCTCCCCGGCGCCGGTCACGCTGAAGATGCCGCTGCCGGTGCCGCTCTGGTTCATGTTGTCTGGAGCGGGAGGTCCGCAGTCAGACGGTCGTCAGAGGGTTGTCAGAGGGGGCTGACTGTTCGTTCAGGCGGCGTTGGGGCGAACCCATCATGGAACATCCGTTAAACTTCACGGCCTCATCCAAGGCATAAAACCAGGCCGTGTGTTGGAAAGGCGACGTGGCGGAGTCACTGTAGAATGAAGCGGCATGTAAAGCGGTTAAACGTTTTAAATACATCAAGTGGCCTTCGCATTTTGCACAGGTGTCTTTGGGCTCATAATGACCAGCCGATGGTTGCGTACAGCATGAAACCATAACCAACGTCGGGTGCTTTGTTTGAATCTACGTACGTACGCGTCAAAAAACACACTGCACACGGAACCAACCACACTCAGAGCAGGAGGGAGAGAGGGGGGAGGGGGGGGGGGGAGCGAGACGGAGGGCCCATACCAGGCGCCGCCCGCCGGCAGACGCCGCGCGGAACGGCGCAAAAACCCGCCGCCGACAAATGAGGCGGGCGCGGCCGGCGCCCCTTTGTCTCCGTAATCGGCGCGGGGTCAGCGGGGGCAAGGCCAGGTGACCGGCAGTGGCACGCCATGATGACACGGGACAACGGCACGGCACGAGATGGCGCGCTGCTCCTCCGCTTGCGACGCCCGGCTGCGTCGTAGGTGTGGAGGTGTCCGAAGGTGGGCCCCAGTAATTTCATTCACGTCGCGTTGTTGCGCTAGGAAGCCTTCATCTTTCTGAGTAAATGTTATGCATTGTGATCTCATAATTTGATAAGTTCGGTAACAGGTAAGACCTCTCTAGATCAGATTGCTATGACTCACGACACGACTTGTTATGATTAACGAATGATAGGCAAATGCTAAACACAGGTAATACAATGTTCTAATTCAGCATATCAACAGTGAAAATGTCGGCTACCAGCGGTGCACAAGCAATTTTGTCTTTTTTCAGCCAGTCAGTTAATGCCGAATGCCCCCGACACCAACCTTCGTCGCTTCGCAACACCACCTGTAAAAATCAAAATATCCGCGACACCGTTCAGAGCAGCTTGCAAGTGGACTATCACTCGTAAACTTTGGATATTTGCACGTGCAGTGACCAGTGGTCTGAAGTCGGCCCCCGGCCATCAGGCAGCCAGACATCCCGCCGCACCACTCGACAGGCGGGGCAACACCAGCTATAGCAGAGCCAATGACGACGTGACCCGGCGACGTGGTCTGCTACAGGAAAAACGGCCATGGGGTGCCGACTCAGGACGGCGCGCATGTGCGCTGTGCTAGTCTATCGACTAGCCCAGAAGATAATGGAGAAAAAAGAACACCAATAACCAGTCTTGCAAGAAATTGTGGGAAAACTTAATCGAAAAAACATGTCGTCTTGCATGTGGACCATGTTCGTGGCTGGGAGATGTCAATGGACTTCCTCATGACAATGGATATGTCAGCTGCCATAATGCAGTTCAGGACTTTCCATTTGAGAATTTTGGACCAGGATTTGACGCCTGGGTGGGAGCCCCGGTCAGGGAACTGCAGGCAACGGTCTGGGGCGTGAGACTAGTCCACTGAGGCGGTAGCCGCCAGCCCATTATTGGACTACCTAGCAAAACAGCTGAAATGTTAGGGTTGTCACTGCTGAAAGAGGTCACAGGAGCTCCAAGTGGTGGGGGGGGGGGGGGGCAGGGCATGAACCCTTGCCATCCAATGGGGACGCCCCAAATATAGATAGTTGCTGGAGCATGCACATAACCTGCAAAGGTGCTCCCATCTAACAGAAACTATGGTGAGATTAGATGTTTTCAATTGAGCACAATGTTGCTGTATCCATACAAAACATAGTCAAGGATCTCTTCAGCTTCATTTAAACATGAAAACAACCTCATCTGATTAGAGTTTACCAATGGTTATTTTGAATAACTGCATAAGACCAGTTTCTATAGGTCTAAAAATAACAGACACAGCAGCACAGACTGAATGATTCTTTCCAAAATGATACCTCTGAGGATATGGAGCAAGTTACATAGTACACTCATAATAACATGGTCTCATTTCTATTCCCATCCTTGTTTCTCATAAAAATATGTTAAATGCTACCCTTGCAGCTCACAATAAATTTAAATTTTGGACCCTTTGTCTAGCTTTCCAAAAAGAATGACCAGAACTATGTTAAAAGGAGCTGTCAAAAACCAAGTAGCATTGTTTCCTGATACTTAAAGCCACAACATCAATGACAAGAGAATGCATAAGTCCAAGGATAGGAAGTCTGACCATTGACTATTCTCAAACTGGCAAATAATTAGACATGTTCCAAATAGCTTCAGATGCCACAGATGGGAGGTCATTGTCACAGGTACCCTGTGTCTTGTAGAGGTCCTAGTGTCCTGTGGAGGCACTAGTGCCCTGTGGAAGCACTATCATCCTGTGGAGGTGTTAGTGTCCTGTAGATGCATTGGCGTGATGTGGTGGCATTAGTACTCTGTGGAGGCATTACACAATGTCAATATCAGTAGATTTTCATGTCTATAACATAATATGTACCATTGCATTACTGATAAACAGCCAATGTCAAAAACCTGACAGCCATCAACCACTGCAACTGGCAAGAAGCTGCCAATGTTGCTTGTTGACCAATTCTGCCTGTGAAAATAGGGCCTTCTAGTTTCACAGACACAGTTGCTTAACATTTCATAGTTGCTCTAAGTATTTTGCAGGCACCAGGTGACCCACTCATTCCTAACTTTTGTTCTTTTCTCAGCATGGTTACATCAAATCCAGGGTGACTAAGAAACATGGGGCAAATATTTTGTGGTTGACTGGCTTTTATTTGTAATGACAGCAGAAAACACAAAAATGTTCATGACAATGGTTCAGGATTGGCTTCTGTAACCAAGAATACAAATGTTTGAAGTGTTTAGATAAAAACACTAATCAGGATGCAATGTGATGCAAGTTTGAGGCGAGCCCGATACAACAGCAGAATAGCATTCCAGAGGCGGCACTGTTTGGAGTGCGCCTCATAATTATTGAGCTAAATCTATAGCATTGTGTGTGTTGAATATATCTGATTTTCTGTCATAAAGGTTAAAAGCTTTCATAAGAGCAAAACAAGCTAATGATAAAAAATTGGCAGCCATAAAATCTAGCCTAGTACCTGGTAGCAACATGTATTGAGCACAAATTATATGTTTCATGAGGGCACAGATGCAGTAGGTTCAGGGACCCATGCCCTTGTGGTCTTGATCCCTGCCAAAACCAGACTGCAAAAATATATGTAGCACTAACATGCCATACACATAAAAATGCATGTCATAAAAGCATACTCTTAATCCATGAGCCCTGTTGTTGGCACAAATTAATCACCAACTATAATATGTAGAAAACCTAAGTTTCAAGGAATTATGGCATCACTGTAAGTTCAGGCAAAAAATGCATCCAAGTGTGAATAAATAGGAAATTCAGCACAAATTGCCCTGCCCTGAGAATGGCAAACCTGTGCTCCTCATCCAGTATGCCAGCAACATGTGGGCATGTATAACACAGTGGATGGAATTTTTGCAGACTGGTGCTAAAGGAGCTGCATATCCATAAGCTTGACAAGAGGGAAACCATAATGACTAGGCTCCACATCCTGGCATTCCATAATGCTAAAATTCCCAGAACTATCTGAATACCAGACTGGGGGAAAATGGCTCCCTCATATGGACTGGTGGGGAGCAAAATTCCGGATCCATGCACGCTGTGTGCCGTGACAGCTACACACCCTGCTTCAACCACTCAAATATTTCACACAGCTGAATGTACATTAAAAGATAACATTCATGTCACCATGTGCCAGGTATTTTACCGACGGGGATTCCAAATCTCCATGTAAATTTTATCCAGGAAAATCTCAAGCATTTACAGCAATGTAGAGCATAAGCATGATGTGACAAGTGGAAATGAAAGTGTTCGTAACTGACAGCTTTAAAATAAAACTTATCAGAGCCTAGGCTTTTTACAGCTATCTAATGGCCTATACATTTTCTAAGTTTGAAGCCATTAATAAGCAAGTTTTGGTTCACTATTATATGACGCAAGCACATGCAAAGACAGCTAAACTCATCACATGACATAAATTGCTGACCAGCACTTTCCAGATTACTAAACTTAGCAACATCCGGAAATTGTTTTTGAAACCAATCCTGCATAAGGAGTTTAACTAAGTCTGGATTCCACAAAATGTTAACCAGGACGTCTTCCTCACCTTTATATTATCCGAACCCGTAATCACTCCACGGGCCAGGACGCAACGCGCACGACGCGGATGGCCTCCCAACGCATTGTGTAGTGCCGCCGGCTCAAACGTTTCTGTAGCGTCGGATTTGTCAACGACCTGCGAGCTTCCAAATTCGCTCCAGGATTCCAAATAGGGAAAGTGATCGCTGTCAGAAATAAAGTACATTTATGCACAGAACGGTTTCCCTTTGGATTGTGTGCTCCTTAAGAGCCATCATAAGTTACGCAATGGCCCGGGGGAAGAAAAGTCTAAAAAAAATCATTGCAACCGAATTGTTATGGCCCTGCAGATGCACATAAAACACTCAACACTTCAGCTCCATACCCACAACTTTACAAGAAAAGAACGGGCATACAGGTCGCATGTACACCTCCGACATGTTCGCAAAGTTACACCCCGAGCTGTGACGAACTGCTGTGGCCTGTTGCAAAAGAAAGAGGTTTTTCTTGTTATGCTGCGTGACAACCATGCGCGATTAGATCGTTTGGTTATCGGGTGGAGCTATCCTTCGATACGTAATGTGTGTTGAATTGTCAACGGCCCAGTCCATTGCTTTGTGAGACCGGGTGGGGATTGGCTCATCCAGAGCAAACTGTAATTGCGCGAATTTTTCGCTACCATGACGTTACAAGTTTGAATCTGAGGATTCCAGAGTTCTGAGTTCTTCATAATAGGGAATGTTAGATAACTCAATGGTAAGAACTTGTAGGCCGTCATACCATATAAGTGGGCCGCCAAAGATTGTTTAACTGAAGGCGGTGGTGATTCACGTAGAAATCAGGCTCATTGTCGCGCCAGAACATTCAGCACAAGGTCGGAAAAGTTCCGTTGGGGTTTGCTGCCATAGCTAGTGACGGGGCTGCTGTCATCGTGTGTTGTCCTGTACAGCTTGCGGCAAGCATTTTTTGTTTAATTTTTGGCACTTCTCATTTGCGCGTCTAATTCTTCACTAGAATATATCTTTTTTGCATTCAGTAGAGATTTTGGGTTGCTCTGACTTTTTTCGTAAGTCAAGTTTAAAATATACATTGGAGATCCAGGAATAACTATTTCACTTTAAATAGTATACATAGGCTAGTTCAAGCAAGTGGGACAACTCATTCAGGCAGTGAACATATGTTCACGTATAACTTAGTCTTGCATATGTCAACCAGATAATCCGTAATGTACCGGGAGACGGATTTTTCGTAGATGCACAAACCTTCACTCGAAACGAACGGCTCTCAAAACACACACTGTGACCCATGCTTTGATCTTTGGTTCTTTAGACTGAGTAGAGACAGGCTCGGCGAACAAAAAAATATATATCAGCATGCATACAAAACATCATGTGGTGATGAGCGAGCACTGATATGACTGACCACTACTGGCAGCGAGGACTGGCATGGCTGGCGGTGAGTGACAGCGAGGACCGGCATGACTGGCGGTGACTGACAGCAAGGACTGGCATGACTGGTGGTGACTAACAGCGAGGACCGACATGACTGGCGGTGACTGACAGCGAGGACCGACATGATAAGGTGATGACGAGCAGAACTGACATCCATTGAATGCAAACATACCTATTTCTGATGAAAAAGTACCGATCACTCCTAAGCCTTCACCAGACGAATCTCACACACGTACGATGCTCCTTACGTTTTGTAACAAGGTACCATTGAATGAGTGCAGAGGTCATGGCCACCACAAAAATGGCGATGTTTGAGCAGGTAACTCGATACTCTCCCATGTGTTCATTCTATCGTAGCATGCCACAGGTCCTACAGATCGCACTGCCTGAATCGTTATGGAATCCCCATTATAAAAACGTCTTACGACCGACACCAAACGAACTTCGCAAAATGGCTCGAGTCGGGTCGGGTCGGGTCGACCGCCATTAACTGATTCAGCTCCTGACTTTGTTCATTGGCAAACAGCCGCATGCTCAGTGCGTATGTATAGGTCGTGGAGCCGGCTGCCATGAAGCCTGCTCTTCAAACCTTGACAGCGTCTTCGAAGCGCTATATTCGGTATCACCGGTCCCGCCTGGCCTGGGATCATCATGCTTCAAAGTCTTGTTCGGACCTAAAGCCATCAAAAGTTTGCACGTTCTTGGGGTGATCAATCTTTAAAATGCGGACACGTTTTATGTCAGTGTTGACTTGGCAAATGAGAAAAGTATTTTCCGCGCCGTTCTTCCGCCAGTAAGCATTGGACTTGATGTTCCCGCATTCAAAGTCACAGCCTGCATCCGTCCTTCCGCATACCCGTTATGACCACTGCTTTTTATCATCGATTATCACAGGTAAACTGCCGATTCGCGTGTTTTCGTCCCCGTCTCATTACATTATACGCCGCTCCTGATGTCACAACATGGACGTGGTGGAATAAGAAAGGAAACGAGCGTAACTAAAAATGTGCACTATTTTTATCAGTTATTGGATGATGGACTACGTTTCCCTGAAAACTGGTCTCGAAGTGTATTTGTATTTGCATTCCATTTATGATTCAGCAGGAGCCTACGGCCAGGGTGCCAAGCGGCATTTCATATTTCACAGGATAAACCACGAATGAACGCCGTGATACAACGGCTAACATTTCGCCGCCAATGTACGGGCAGCCATGGTCACTCACCTGTCTGGAGCCGCACACGCCGTTCCAAGGCTGATGCGGAACACTGCCGCGCCAGGGAGATAATATCCGGTAGCACCCGAATGTACGTGGAACCGCAGCGCCTCTCCCCAGCCTCGGTTCCTGACCATCGAATGTGCAGTAGCTCGTTGCGAAGCGCACTTCACCATCTGGGAGAAAGGCGGCTGCGAGCGGTCCGGACCCTCTGCACCCTGTGTTCCAGGCAGTGTGCAACATCACCCCACTGCTACAGTAGGGTCACTTTATGCATCTGCTAAATAAAAACTAGGTTATGGGCGCCATATGACCAACGTGCTCGGTGCGCCCCAAAGCCCAGATCATCACCATACAGGGGGTCCGTTAGGTAGTACACTCCTTAATCGCGTACCACTCGCAGTATGAAATTGGGTCATGGGCAGAGAGTTGTTGCAGTCTGCCTGTATCAGCAATGCAACAAAAATGGACTCAGTATCATGGCAAGTATGCATGTGAAAAATTAACAAGTGAAAAGCACGCCAACTGTAACCGATTTTCCCTATGTCTACCAGGTTTTGCTTCAGGCAGGCTGGCTCCTTTGCGTAGGCTGAGGAAACTAGCCAGTGACTTGCACCTTTTTTAGGAGGTGGACGAGGGTGTTTTAGTTTTAGGCGCATCAAAGAAGAAATATGCAATTGACTCTGTATCAAGCTGGAATAACACTAATTGGATGATGGTTCAAACGTCAGTTGCAACAAAAAATACACGGGTCCAGATACGGAAATGTCCTTGAAGCATGCAGAAGGCGCGCAAAGTTTAACTGTGCACCATGTAATCCCTGGATTCCGGAGGGAGCACCACGAGCACACTCTGATTCCACGCCTCGAGTTCCAAAGCCGCAATGTTACCAAAATCGGGACGACATATCGGCGCAATCAGATCAGAAGTGGACGCCATTTTATCTTCTGCCGTGAGTCCGTAAGGCTCTGCCAAACGAGGTAACGTAAAGCTTTTGCTGAGTTTTTCACATCTCCGCAGATAAAGGCTGACTTATGTCAAGGAATGTCATATTGACGTCACCGTGAGGTCATTCGATTCCGATATCGTGCGGCGTTAACATTCGGCGCCCTTGGATGACACCGGATAGCTGGTTTTTTGCTTGCTTTCACCAATCCAGATTTAACTTTCTACAGGACCTTTCGAACTGACGGCCAGATGATTATACTACCGTAACGGTCGTTTGCGTGGAGATGGTGGGACTGAAACATCATTGTCTCTTCGCTGCAATTACCTGATCTAACAAGAGAGCTGAAAATGTGCCTTGTCTCTCAAGGTTTGGAAGCTTTCTGCCTTGAAATCGACATCACTTAAATAAGTGGTGTTGAGTTCAAGGCAGCTACCATTGTGGGTGGACTGCGGTGGGAAAGTTGGTGAAACAAGGATGGTGCCACGAGCGCATTCCAATGACGATGTTAAACAAAACAAAACGGTGATCTCAATGTACGTTTATGTGGCCGCTGTTAGACCTGTCATACCACGTTGTCTGCAGGGGCACACCATCGCAGAAGCTTCAGAGATGTGTGATAACGTTTTAGCCATAACGTACCGGCTGCGTCTCCATGCAAAGCCAGCCTTCTGTGTGTCATCACGAGAGGTTCCGCTGATGGTCTGCTGGTCTTCAAAATTAAGCGGTTAAGCTATTTGCGTGTAAAATTTTCTCCCTGCACAGCATTAATCTGTGTTCATAGCTGAACTGCATTCGCTGCTTGACCTCAGCGTCACCACGTGAACTATTTTTCAGCACGCGTATTTCCGGTGAAAAAGAAAACTTAGCGTGCATGGTAAAAGCAATGCTAACATCTCCCAGCCATCAATAGGAAAGAAGCCTTCATCTGTCATAGGTGACCATCATACCCCTCCTCGCCTCCTACCGCCCCCCCCCCCCCCCCCCGCTCCCTCCCCGCCCCTGCGAATTGTTGAGGTAACGGTGTCTGGGAAACCAAAGGTACGGGGTTCGATTCCCGGCGGTGTCTGCTAGAGACAGGAGACACCTTATAGCCTCAGCAGCTGAGTGTGACGTAAAGGCCCAATAACAGAGGCGGAAGTGCATGTATGTCAAACGTTGTAGTGCGGGGCATGGGAGGTGGATAATAAGTCCAGAGAAGCATTTCACAATATATGGGTTTCATTGGACTGTGTGGATTTCAGCACCATTTCGCTCTACGGCTCCGACTCAGCGTATTTTATCACTTTTTATTTTTATCACTTTTTTCAGGAGCGTATTTTATCACTTTTTCAGCTCATTGCAATGCACCAAAATTTAAGCGCCGAAGTACCACTAAAGACCAAGGCCGTAGAAATTACGAACGTCGCGAGCAGCAAATGAACAAACCGCCTTTTCGGCTATATTGTGCATACATCATTACAGGGATAATGCGAAGCTATCACAAAGAGTGGATGGTCCACGGCTACGTAATCAGAACGTTTCTAAAAGTTCATGCGGCAAAACCACCGGATGACGGTCCCTCAATAACAAAACCTTTGTAATCATGACATTCCCAGCGGATATCGGTGTACCGCCATAGCTAACGCACTGCAATTTCCTTCCATCGTTAAACCTATCCCCATGTGCCTAAGTTTAACGTAATGCATAAAGTTCGGTGCGACGACAAAGGGGATCCTGTAGCGGTAATTGGCCACATTGCCACCAACATGCAGTCGAGCGCGCCTGTCACTTGCATGCAATCGACGTTTGACAGCCAAACCGACCATTCCTATGTCAAAAATGTGCAAAGGTGTACAAAGGTGTCTCTACGCGGGTGTGACTGATCAGATAAACGTCTGATGATCGAATCCCCAACCATAGTCACACAGACGGATCAAATCGGGAGAGCGAAGCCCGCTCGTCGTCCATTCGTTCCAATCGGCCGACTCTGGCGGCGCTCGCTCCAGCTTGGAATGACGCTTGGCGGAACCAGAGTTTCTATCGCATCAAATGGAACCGCTGCGAACGCCGCCGAACGGACCGCGGCGGCTCTGGACCAGAACACTTCGCGCAGAAGATCCCTTCGAGACGCTGCCCGCACCGGGACGCTTCTCCGCCACTCGGCGCGCGCGCCCGCGTACCGTTACCGTCGGCACGGCACAGCTGATCTCGCAGTCCGGAGACGCCGCCGTCCGCTGACAAGACCGACGCGCTGTGATGGCCGTGAATGCGCCGTCATCGCCGCCGAAAAAGCGGGTTCGTTGACTGGGAGGCGGCGGGAGAGGAGGCGGGGTTTTTGTACGGCGCCGGCGTCGCCCGCCGACGGCGCAGACTCGTGATTCGCGACGCACAGCGTGAGGCCTGGGTTTCGACACAGCGGCTCTCGCTGTGCAATGCCACTCATACGGGCCGAGGGCGAGCGCGGATTGGGTGAACGACGGAATGACGGCTGACCTTCAGACGACACGGGTGCATTGCACGCGGCACGTTCAGCTGACCGGATCAGCACCCTCAACGGCCCGGTTGCAGGAGATCAGCATCGATCACCACGGGATCTACCAGCCGAGGCGACAACGCCGAAGTACCCGCACACCCAGCGCAGTGCCTATGACAAGCTGACATGCTGACAGTAACGAGGTGGCAAGTTGCCAAGCTGATTGTGGCAACTCTCAGGAATGCGCTGCTAGCAGCGCGAGTCTGATAGCGTCAAAAGCACGGACATTTTTATTGCATTGAAATCGCTTTAGACCTATGCGTGCGATTCAGCAGTCTCGCCCGAGACGTAGCCACGCGGCGTGCTTCCAGCTTCTACCACGGACATACTGGTGCTACTCATGAGGCACCATACGGTGGGCCGTTGGTGCCTCATGTGCCAGGTGGTGCCTCATGTGCCAGGTGAGCTGCACGTTGCGAGACGCGATCTTCGAGCGCTTGCGAAGTTTTAAGCCTGCTGAGAGAAGCTTATCGCGTTTCATGGAACGTTTCGGAGTTTAAGAGGGAAATGACGGGACATCGCAGTGCCGAAATAATCCCGGATCATGGCATCAATCCTTTCCCTTGTCAAGCGTCCTCTTCAATGGCCGAAGTTCAGCTCTCTCTCGTTCTCCCCGGTGCTCCTTTGGCGCTGCCTGATAGTCGAAGAAGGCTTATAAAGGATCGCTAGTAGCGCGTTGGTGGAGCCAATGAAAGGAAACGCTTCGCGGCCGCTGGTCACGCCGATTACCCCGTGATCGGAGAAACGCTGCATTGGGCACATGGGGCCACACTGCAGAAGAGGACACGGTGCCTGTAGACATTCCGGTGGTGGACACTGCGTGTGTGGACACTACGGCAGTGGGCACTGTGCATGTGGACGCTATGGCGTTGGGCAGTGCGTTGTGGACACTGCAGTGGTGAACACTGTGCACGTGGACGCTACGGCGTTGGACTCTGTGCCAGTGCACACTACGGCGGTGGACACTGTGCGTGTGGACACTACGGCAGTGTACACTGTGCGTGTGGACACTACGGCGTTGGACACTGTGCGTGTGGACACTACGGCGGTTGACACTGTGACACTGGTCAACACACTGCGCATGACTCACATTTCGGGACACACAGGTCGCATGCAAAGCGATGAACAACAGCCCGGAAGCGGTAACCTTATCTCAGAGAAAGCCTCTTGCGGCGGCTCATTTGATCACAAAAGAGACGCAGATACGGTCGCCTCCCTCCGAGGGTAACGGGGCTGAGGCGGACCTCGGATATTGTCCCCCATAAATTACACATCCTGCGTGTATTCAGCTTGAGACATCGCGATAAATGGCCACACGTACGGAAAGCAGCATAAATTAGACTCGAATAACTCGGTCGGCGTCGCAGCCTACGACAAAAACGACAATAAGTCACTTGGGCTAAGCGGACGCATAAAACACTCCAAATCACAGATACACGTCAGACTGCTTTCAGCATAAATAACACAATGGGTACCTACCATCCTATGACGAATTTACGGGAGCTCGGGGTTGTCTTAAGTATGGGAACATGATGACAACACCTGCCGTATTGAAGCAGTTCAAGATATTTAGTTAAAATGTTCGCATCGGCCTAGATTTTGTCCCAGTCCGGAACTTATTTACATCGCTTAGGTAGCCACATTCTGCCCAGCTGTGGCCGACACTGTTCGCCAAACAGAACAGCTTTGTCTGACTAGTTCACATTTCACATATTCGTTGCATCGCGCACTCGGTGCATTAACATGCTGCAAAACACATCGTCGTCGATCTATGTGAAACAGAGCAGATCTCCACATGAGCACAGAACTAGCCACATCGCTCTCGAATGTCGCTGCCTGTTTCTCGGGCCGGCGTGAGTCGGCGCGGCTCGGCCACTCACACCGGTCGACAGAGGTCTCCCGTGTCGAAACCGCTCAGCACCTTGTGGGCTGCGTCAGTCCGGCGGCTTTCACGGCTTTCACAGATCACACTCGAACGCAGCGCCGGTGGCAAACACATCTCACGCGCGTGCCGCCTCTAAAACACGCCCCCCGCCTGAGCGACGAAAACACCGGGTGCATCACAACACCGCCCGCGGCGCGCCGCCCGGCCCACGCGTCCCGCATCGTGACCCGTGACCCGCGACCCGTCAGCGGTCACTATGGCACCGAGCGGCCCAGCGCCCTCACGTCAGCTTGCCGCCCACGAGACTCTGCAGCGTGTAGAAACGGTCCATGTCCGAGGCGCCCACGCTCGTCACGTGCTGGAAGCAGCACGGCTGCGAGATGTCCTCCTTGCGCGGTCGCACGTAGCGCTCCACCTTCTTCTTCCTGCGCTTCTTCTGCGCCGGCCCCGACAGGCTGATGTTGGCCGGATCGGCGCACAGCGTCTCCAGCTGCGCCTGGAACGCCTTGGCCGCCTCGATGTCGTCGAAGCTGAAGCCGACGCGGTGCCGGTGGTCTGTCGACAGGTGCATAGTGTGGAAGCTCGGGTCGGGCGCCGTGTAGTTGGACAGGTTGTCGACCACGTCGCGCCACAGCATGAAGCTGGTGCCCTTCTCGGCGAGCACGATCTGGATGAGGCGGCGGCCGCGGCTGCGCGTGTCGCCGGCGTCGACCACCAGCGCCGGGATGCCGGTGTACTTGAGCTCCCACGAGTTGGACTCCGAGCTGAGGTACATGTTGGCCAGCGCGCGGCACACGATCACCTGACGGCGGAAGAGGTGGTGTGAGATTGGAGCGGCACGCGCGGTGGAACGCACACGCTGATTGCAGTGAGTGGGACGGCCACCGATAGTTGATACGGAGGCTGTATCAAAGGCCAACGTGTACAAAGTTGCTATATTAGCATTCGAAAGTGCAGAACGTGTTGGAAAAGGCAAATATTGCCGGAATAAATAATAAAACACGCGTGACGAAAGATGACACTATTTTACATCCTTTTAAAAATGTGTGGTGCGCACCAAATAGGCGGTGTGGCGTGAGCAGACTACGACATAAATATCGAACAGCGACTTGGAACACAAGTCTAACGGACACAGCGTGATGGATACCGTGACCCGAGGACAGGGCGCGCCGAACCGTGCCCGGTCAGTGACACGGCGCATGATTAACGATACAGAATGCGGCGTGACCGTGATGGGCGGCCGAGCGACGGCTAAACAATGCCACGGGCACGCAAGAGATCGCGGCCCGATCTCGGCCGCGCAGCGGCGGTCCCCCGTCCCGTCCTGACCCGTCCCGTCCCGTCCCGGTCCCGGTCCCGGTCCCGGTCCCGGTCCCGGTCCCGGGTCCCCGTCTCCGTCCCCGTCCCCGTCCTCGTCGTCTCCGTCTCCATCTACGCTTCCGTCCCGTCCCGCTCTGTCCCGCCCCCGTCTCCGGTCTCAACTCCGTTCGTTCCGCCTGCCCGTTTCAGCTGGTCTGTTCCAGTCTAGCAGCGTACGGTCCGGTCCTGCTTGGTCTGTCCAGGCCTTTCAATGTCACGAGCCGAGTGTAACGGCTCGCTCAGGGACAGCACGTCAGCTCTGCGGGAGGTGTGGTTGCTCGCCGATGGGAGCTAGATTCTACGACCCGTCTGTGGCATCCGAAGGCAGCTCGACACCGATGAGTATTCGTCCCAAAGGGTCAGTGACATAACCCGCTCTCCGTCCAAGACGTCTCTCAATAATCCTGTGCTGCCATCTCAATGCGCATTTCCAAGCAGGGCAGCGTGATAGTGTTGTGAACAGCTGGCGCGATTCACGTCATGCCCACAATATATTTCACACATGAGCTTTTAGGATTCGAAATATCTGATCACCTGAGCACTCAGACCCAACCGGAAAGACCGGCAGCAGACGCTGAAGCTCACCAGCTATGGCCCTGAAACAACCGGCGTGCGATGCGCGTTCGGACACGCGACCCAGTCTACGATATCAGTTATCAGTTCTTGGCGCCGTAAAACTACTGAGCTACAAAGCTTACTACTGGATCAATTTTCCTCAACAGCCTCGGATCGCAAGGACACTTTCCTCATTCCGCCTGCGATTCCGCGCTGATGCGCTGGTTTCCCATGTCAGTCTTCCTGAAAGCAACCATTCCCCCTCGTCTACTTTGCCTTGATGCTTGTTCCAGCCTTACAGGGACTGTGCACGTGTCACCATATGCCGACATCGCACGCGGCCCTCGCCGTACCCATCGCATCTCGTCGTCACGGTCATCATCTCGCCCCGGAACACGCCCCTGGCGTTCGCACGCTCGTTAGCCGGCGTGCCACCGCGCGCACGTGAGGTCGGCCGTCACACACGCGCCGACCTCCCGCGGCGACGACCGCAGTGCAGACCGGCTACGCTGCCGCGACGAGTCCCGCCCCAAGTCGGCCCAACTAGAGCGGAAACCCATCCTGCCGACCGCCGCCGCCGCGCAGTTTTGCAATGCTCGGAGAGTGGAACACAAATGGCACAATCCTTGCAGAGGCTGTGCTGTATCAGGATAACGATGCGGCTCGTGAGGCGGGCGGAGCGGAGATGACCTCCCGGGGACACAAAGTGCTCATCCACAGCCCACATCAGGGGGCAGATAGGGGCATCTGTCACCATAAGGAGCCCACGGTGGTCGTAAATCCACCCGCGACTTGGAAAACCCACGGTAGCACACATTGCGAGTGTGGCACACCTCCTGAAAGACAGTCCGGCGTACTCGTAGAGCAAAACCAGCGTATCAACGGGGCGTCGACATGTAAGGGTGCTGGTGGACTAGGATAGAAACATTTCGCAGCAATCTGACGTAGGACTGTAACGCTGAATCCTGGCCGATTATTCTGGAAATGTCTTCAACTGAGGCTTTTGGCTCTCCTGCATTTGACTCCAGAGCGACGGGTTGGTTTTCATACGTTAACTGACGCGTTGGTCTCCCTAAGCCATTCCACCTGCGAAAGGACGCCTTCGGCCGGCGTGCCATCTCATTCGCATCCCAAGCCCGCTCCCGGAGAACGGCTGTGCTGATCGATGAGCGCATGTCCAGAAAGGAATGTGGAACGCGCGTTTGTCCATGACTGTGTTGTGGACTGGCTGTCACAGTCGACACCTTCATTTGACATTGCACCTTCAATGTGTTACGACCAATCCGTTAGCTAGAAGAGAGCTTTCAATTGCGGCGGCAGTTGAGGAACACGGAACACAGCGGCAGTCTTCAGTGTGCGCCTTGCCGAATGCGCTTGACGCTAATTACAAGGAGAGCACAGTAAAGCGTCTCAGGGTCCTCATGACTCGAAATGACAGCATGACAAGGCATGGGTAGCTAACTACAGAACGGCCTGCCCTGGAGACGGAGGCGCTGTATGCATGTGAATACGACATGGCCGCCAGGGCCTGCGGTGCCACCCACATGTGGGTCAGTGCCGGCTGATTTAGATTCCGGTCAGATGCGTGGTGCCCGAGTGAAAGTGCCCCTGCAAGTATGAATGGAAAGCCCGAGCTGGCACTAAACCAACAATGAGCTGCCGCCACCGACGGCTGTGGATGTTTATATCTTAGGCCGCCATGGTGCACACGTAAATCGTGACTCCATTTGTTGACGCAGCACCACAGACTGGGCTATGTTTCGTCACGGAGTCTGTGACGCTGCAGTACCGTAACAAGCTCTACGACGATGGAGTACTGGTTACGAGCTCTGCGACGATGGAGTACTGATTACAGGAGTTCTGCGACGCTGGAGGACCGGTTACAAGAGCTCTGTGACGATGCAGCACCGGTTACAAGGGCTCTGTGGCGCTGGTTACCATCTTGGAAAAAAGTGACGAAGCTGGACCCCACTTCCGATGACAAACCGATATGCCACCTTTAACTTTCCATTAGCAAGCCTTCGATGCACATCATAACCTGCCATAAACAGTGGACCGAATGGACCGAGCGATCGGTAAACAGAAGACTACCGCTCGCGTGACTTTTACTCAGCTGAAGCCTTTGATGTAGCATGGATAGGATGATAATGCCAGAAGGAATTTTGATGGATTGAACTTAACTCGTCTCCTTCCGCCAGTCTGGCTTCAGTGGCATGCTGTAGCTATAATACTTAACTGCTCCCTGCACTGCAATCATCTCCAGGTGTCCTTACGAGCTAGGCGGTAATGAGCCCCACGTCACTAGCACACCCCCACTCTCCAGTCAAATTCCGCCTGAGGCACCACGTGATGAGTCCCCCGCCTCGTCCCGTTGAAATATTTCACAGCTAGCACGTTGAAGCGCATCTGCTGCTTAAGAGACTACCCAAGGGCTGCACGCCGCCAATGTGCGTGACGGAACAGCTTGAGCACTTCCGGTTCCAAGACGGCGAGTGCGGAACTTTCCGAAGAGCTGAAGATCGACAACCATTGCCGTGACCACAAAGCAGCTGCAGTCTTTTAGTCTCTTAGCCCTGGCTCACCGCAAACCGAGGCCTTGATCGCAGCTCATGAGACGGCTAGCACATCGCCCGTCAAAATGTCCGCGCATTCCTTCACGTGATTCAGCACCCAGTGTGCCACGCTATGCCTCGCCATGGATTTGCAGCGTCGGTGTCTCGACAAAGGCTGAGTCCCTCATATCCCGTCGACGTGCTGTAAAGTGATGTAATTCTTTGAAAAGCGTTCGTGCAAACGTCCACAGGATTATGCAGGTATGCACGCCACACCCACTCATCACCATATGTACTTTTGAGCCTTACATCCGTGGCTGATGTATCGGAGCCGGATTGCTCAACACGAATAGCTTCGCATTCATTCGGCAGTGGTGCTTAACAATCCAGTATGACAATACAGCCACTCCTGGTATTTGTGCCCGCATGCGCGAGGCACCACACTTGGAAAGCCTCAGCAGTGGTAACTTCGTTGATCCTCAAGCGGTTGTTTTGTATGGTCTGTGCAGGAACAAGCACCATCTCAGAAGTAATAGGCATGGCAATATGAGTGATAATTTTGACGAGCGTGCCGTTTGGCAGGGGATATCAGGCGGAAAACGAGGCCCAAACAGGAATTAATTTTGTTTGAATCGTTCTGGACGGACCGCCGGAAGACAGTCCAAGGCCTTCAGGGCTTATGTGATCCCTGGTTCTCCAAACGGCGCGTCATGTTCGTTCATAACGTCACCCTGCAATCGATACCCCCCCCCCCCCCCCGCATCCGCTGCCTGTCCCCAAACACCCACCCCACCACCGGCCCAACAGTAAACACTCCCGCCAAAACATGCACGATGCTGACGGGTCAGACTCTGCCAACGCGGATCACACGATCCTTCAGGATCGTGTGGGCCAGCATGTGGTAGCCAGCATGTGACGCTGGCTGCTCCATAAAGCCAAACGACACTTGGATTGCTGGCGTGTTTTTCCGTAGTTAGGAAGGCGTTGTTTGCTCTTACCTTCTATTGATAAACGTTATATCGATAAACATTTGATTGACGTTGAAAACAAGGCACAGAACGTTGAGTGTTTGGGAGGACAGACATAACCAAGACATAACGTGGATTCACTCAATGACTGATAAGTTCGTGGGAGATAAACGGCTGTATAAACTTAAAATTAATGTCAACGCTTAAGCGGTTCAAAACTACGGCTCATCCATCTTGTTATACATAAAAATTCCAGCCCAAAAGACGAACAGCGTCTCGAGATGCTTTGGATGTTGTTGGTTGGTAGACGTGGTCATAAATGATAAGCTTGACAAATTACATCTTCAAACAGGATGATACCGGGCATTCTTGGCAGCCTTCCTCGAAAAATCTACTAGGACTGAAACATAGCGCTGTGAAGACAAAGCTGATCGTGTGTAATGGGAATGCTTTTCCGATATAAATTTAACTTCTCGGTATTCCCTGGAGATATCCTCGCTTGGACAAACGTAAGCCATTTATACCAGTGACAGCACCGGAGCAAAAATGGCCAGCGGTCATTACACAGTGAAACCACCAGTGCACTGCCAGCAACGACTTCGTAAGGGATTACAAACTCTGCCATCAAGAGCGTGATCGCCATGTTAACTGCTAATACTTCGTACATGCAGGCTTTGCGCTTGTATTCTATTCCGGTTCGGAGACCGTTCAGGCGATTACGAATCTGGAGTTCCAAATTTTTGGTCAATTACACGTATAAGCTTTAAGCGCAGCTAAAGCTATAAGCTTTCACGGGCTATAAGTGTTTTGCATGCAGGGCGTGCTAGGCTGTGCTTCCGGCGAAAGCAAACGCGCAAAAGCATTGCAAATTTGATGGAAATCAATGCGCATAGCAATCGTTTCTAAACATAACCAGTTTGAACTTCCATTCATAGGATGTAGTTCCCTAAAACAGCATGTGCGTCACGCAAACGACTCTGGGACGGTCAGCGGCAAACCTGCTCACGTTGACTGGTAAGCTGTCCATGGGCTACCAAACGTATGGAAACAAAAGTTAGCCGCAAGCAACAATAAATGACCTTCAAATAAAACCGCTTGAATTTTTTAGTGTTTTGAAAACATACGGATGCAGTAATATCTAGTGGCACGTTAGCTTAAGCTCGCGATATAGTTAGCATAGCTCAGACCATACTTTAATCACCTTACTAATTAACGCACTGGAATGTATGAGACTTCCGACAAATCAGCGTGATAAAATTCACAATTAATGAAACGCCTGGTTAATTAACGTGCCTGAGTAACGAAGCAACGGATTCGCAGACTCTCAACCACAGGCCTCCTGAGCCGCGGAGTAACTAATCCATACCTCCAAATACAACTTACTTTGTATTATTCTCTTTCTAAAAACGTGGATGACCTTCAAGCGCCTAATCCAGTGCACCATATCAATTGGGAGGTGATGACGCAAGCTCTCATGCACCAAACTCGGTAATGATCTTACGGTGGCCGAATCCCCTCAATCGTAAAGCAACGCAACTGCCCACGGTCCATCACGAACAAACTGTGGCAAACAAGCGCTGTATGTAAACTCCCTTGCATCGGTCAATGAGCTTGATCGGGGGCCACATAAAACAACCGTAAAATTAAAATCAATCAAGGTGTTCTAAGTCCATGTTATGATGAGGCGAAATCACCGGCTGCGGTAAGACGGCAGAGGAACGCGTCCCTGCGTTCGCCGTCGTGTCAGGACGCTGGCGGCCAGGATCCATTAATATCCGGTCGTCTCGCCCGTCCGCATGAATGCGAGGCAAATTACAGACCGCTCGGACGCGCCCAACGCCGAGTGAAACCGACAGCCGCCGTGACCCGCAGACTGCGGAACAAGTGGAGCGCCGGGGTGGCTAGGCCAAAGTGCCTGCGGGGAGACCCCGGGGAGGGAACCGCAAGTGGGAGATGTGAACGAAGTTCAGGATGAGAACCGTGAGTTTGTGATCAAAACCATTGGTTTTGAAGCACACCTATGAGTTGGACATGAAGATGTAAGTTCGGGGCGAGCACCGTGAGTTTGGAATGGGGTCCTCTAGCTTGAGATGAGAACCGTGGGTTTGCGAATGAAGTCGGAGTTTAGCAAAAACCGTGAGTTTGGGGTGAGAACCATGGGTAAGAGGTGAGTGTGACGAGGTGTTTCAACTCTTACTGGCCGCGGAGAGCTCGGCTGTCGCTGTCGGCACTAATAAGCGAGTAAAGATGTTATCACGAACACAAAAGGAAGTTGGACCGGTACTAAAGTGGTGCGGACAAAAGAGAGCTAGTGTTTAATGCACCCGCGTTACAGGTGATCATAGACGATAAAACATTCCGTCTATAGAGGGTTCATTACCACAACTAATAACTATTACTGAGAGGACAGCGGTCTATCATTTTTATTCGAGGAATGTTCTTTTGGTATGCTATAATAAAGCAGTTATGTTAGAGAATGAGAAAGGGCACTGGATCCATGACCCACGTCAAATAATGGGTCTTTCATCCCTCCAAGCTGCGGCACAAGCAGCTGATAAAACCCTCACAAAGAATCCAAGCTCATCTGTCCCGTTTAACCTTCAGCTTGGCTTCCGGGAGAGTTGACGAGCGAACCAGCCCCCGGAGCGCCTCGAGGCGAGTGGCGGTCAGCGACTCCCGGTCGTCATTTATCGAACAACGGCAGACATGTGGTTAGTCTCCAGCATAGTGCACGACGGCCGAGGGCGGTTCTCAAGTTTCCTTGCTCCTATTCACTGCCGTGGTCGTTACATTGTGGTTCCTCCCAAACCGAGCGTTCAATGGGGAAAGCGGGCAGAGTTCCCATCGCGGCCCACGTTATGTGCAAGGTAACACGCGACACGAGCTCTTCCGCTCCACTTTTCTCCGGGGCTTCTGAGCGTGCTCCGGGGTGATGCAGTGGGCGGGGGCATTGATCCCGTCGGCTGCAGGGTTGGTGGTCTCGGCTCCGGCAGTTTTTTTCATTTTCGGAAACAGTCTCGGTGTTATCGCGTTCCACGCCGCATGGGTGTCAGTTCCGTCATCGGAACAAAAGAAGCGTCGGCCTTTCAGAGAAGATTGAGTGTGGGAAGCTCTGTGACAGGCGCAGCCTAACAATTACCCAAATGCCAAGTGCGTTCGGAGATATTCTATTCCGGCAGAGCTTAGCAGAGAGCCAACATCCATCAGATCTGAGATAAGGCGCATCGCGAAATCACTGGTCACATAACTGTGCTGCGATCTGTGGAATACGAGTCTCCGTCCTGCCCTGATCTGTCCGAAACAATGCACGTTCGAAAGCCGATGAAGTGATACTGGGCGACAAAAGCATTCGCTACACCTGCTCATTTATCCCCGTGGTGATGTGTCTGATGCATGAGGCCCATGTCATAGACATATGCCATCATGAACGTATTCTTGTAAGTTGTATGCATGCTAAAAAGCAGCGCGTCCGCCTTTTCTAACCATTGCCGACATAATAAATGTATTCCTAGACGAATAAATAATGTATTCCTAGACGAGCGTCGGACTCTATCAAAACGAACAAACTCTTCCGAAATAACCAAAAACCAGCAGTAAAGCGCCAACCAGCCCCCAAACCGAGCCCCAGCCGCCCCTGCCTCACCCGGCTGCTCACCTGCGTCTTGTGCCCGGCGAAGAAGGACTCGACCTGGGCGATGTCGGCGTCGCCCACGGTCAGCGGCTGCTCCTCGTCACGCGCCAGGTTGCGGTACGAGTCGTACTTCTCGCTGATGCGCTGCGCGGCCGCCAGCCGGCCGGCGCGCACGTCCACGGCCGACTGGTAGATGGGCTCCGGCTTGTGCAGCACGGCCGCCTCCTCGTTCGACTGGAAGACGAAGAGGTGCGGCGTGGACGCGTACTGCGCCTGCGCCGCCGCCAGGTTCGTCACGCTCTTGCTCTTGTTGGTCTTCATCGACGCGCACGCTGCCGCTGGGGGGCGGAGGTGACGCTACAGCATGCCACGCATGCGGACGCACGCAGACGCACGCGGATCTGACACTGCGCGGTGCCGGCTCGAACCGGTGATGTAATCACCGCTCTGACGTCAGGCGCTGGCGGAAGCCAAACGAGAGTTCACTTTCACGATGCCCTCTGGATGCCTGCTGGTCGCCCGTGGGTCGGGCGGCGCGTCGAGCGACAGGTCCTCGAAGCGGCGTGCGGGTAACGTCCTGGAAAGGCAACAGATCCAGTGTTACGTCATCGGCAGGCCGGAGTCCGCCTGCCCCCGCGCGTGGACTCGTCCATGCGCGACCGCACGGCCGACCCCGGGCGCGCCGCAGCCTCGCGATAACATCCGGCTGCTCGGCTGTCGGCACGCCTTTGTCGCCGGCACTTTCGTTCGGAGGCCCCGGCGAAGGGCTGGGCGATTGGCTATCGGCGTCGCTCCACGCCACGGTGGCGGGCCAAAGACTTAATGTGAAGTGAGGGAACCGACGGCGCTTTCCAGTCGCAGGGGCAATCAGATGCCGTAGGCAGATTTCACCATGAAGGTGCAGCTAGAGCAGAGGAATGAGTAACTCCTGGCGAAGGCGGCCCAACTCCGGTCAAAGCTCGATCAGCGCCGCTCATGGATATTGAGTAGCATGGTGAAACCTATTGTATTTAGCTTTTGCACGCAGTCTTGCCAGTCTTGCCCCCTTCAGCTTTTTGCACATTTAGTCTTGCCTTGCCAATCGGACAATAGAGAGGAGCTGTGATCATTAATGTGCGATTATTAGCAACAGTCGCCGACTGGTTGTGTGACAGCCAAAATAATTACCCAGGAGGCTCGAGTTACATCAGACCCGTTTCTTACCACACAGCAGCCCATGCTCACACAATTTGGCGACAACCCACCAAGTTTCGCACGGATCAGGTGGACTGTGCTCATAACCGGCGGGGAAGTATGCAGAGCAGCCACTTGTACCCACACCGGACATCTAAATAACCGTTATTACCGCACGCTAAAGCATGTCTGAATTCTGCTGTGCTCTTTCTGGAAGACGACAGCCCGTCCCGTGGACGGATCGCCCTATATTGGTTCACTCAATTCACAAGCAATCACGGGCGTTTGACGCTCATCCTGATGTTGAATTCGCGTCTGTCCCGTACCCACGGTAGTCCCGGAAGCAGGCGGCTAGCTCGTTAGGGTCCGATTTCCGGCAGGACAAATATGACTTCCGGCTTCCGCGCCCTTGACCGGATTTTTTAGCTAAAAGCTCGAGATTCGGAAGGCGGAGCGGAGGAGAGCGTTTAAATGACCACAAAAAGAACCATTTTTGTAGTCCACAAAGCGATATACACGAAAAGGCATTGGGAGTTCCTTGCGCTCCTCAAGGAGCAATATCCGCTGAGGGGGTTGGACCTCCGATTCTCCCAGCAGCGACTGGTCACGACAGGCATGCTCCGTCGACACGGCTCGGTTGCCGTGCCGAACAGCGCACAAATATCCGGCGGAGGTTGCGAGGAGGTTTGCTAAAAGCTATTCCACCGGCTGAGCGGTCCCGCTCCACCCCGCGGCGCTATCGAACCAAACATCCACCAGCCTCGAAACCCGCCCACGCCATTCGGCACGAACACGGCGGACGGAATACGAAATCGAGTCACGCCGCCCAGCCGCTCTCTAGTGGCGCAGATAATCAAATCGGGCCGCCTTCCGGAGCCCCAAAAGGCGGCGTCAACTGGCCGGCGCGGCCGCTGGCGCCGGTGTGACGTCACCACAAAGGGGTGACGTCAGAGCTCAATGCCGGGCGTGAGGTGAGTCACGCGGTACGCGGCGTTGCGCCGGTAAAAGTCTGCAGTCCGCGCCGGCCGGCGCTGCACGGCCGGCCACGGACGCGCCGAGCCGGCCGCGCAGGGACCCGGCTGGGCCGGTTCGCTGGAAGCGCGGCGCTCGGGTCCGGTCGCTCTGTCCCGAGAACTTCCCGCGACCTGGACGGAAGCCGCGCTGCGCATCTCAGTGAGATTCGGTGCGTTTCACAACGGCGCGGTTCGCTCGCCCTCTGTGACAATGGTTGGCTTTCCTATTGTCGGGAGGCCGGAGGCAGGGAAGAGGCCTGAGCTCGCTGCGGTGCGGCGGTCTCTGCAGGCTTGTGGCGGCCATGAATGACACAAATAGCAGTGGAAGTCATTCCTAGCGTGAGACAGGAAGCTCGATTGTATCATCCGGTCACTGAAGGCTCCCGTTCTCATCCACCAGCCCCTTCAGACATTGCCATGAACAAAGTCATCGGCGGTCATCGTCCGTGCACACAAGTATCCAAAGGGAAGTTGTTTATCCTGCGGATATGGGATGGCGAAGGATGAGAGCGATCGTCCGCACAGAATAGGCACTGCATGACCATGAGCTTCGTATCATGGTGTCAAAGTAGTAGGTGCATTAAAAACAAACGTCAAATAGCACACTAAGAACGCAGGTTCCAAAATTCATTCCGAGAACATCACAGAAATGGCTTAAGCCTATTAACCACCCACTAAATTGCACAACGGTACAATGTTTAGTTTCAGGCCACCCCTATGAAAGGGAGAAGCCCACGCACGTGACCTCAAAGCGGCACGCAACACGCAAAGGTCAGCTCGGCGCGACCGTTTGCGTCAGGCCACTTGACCCTAGCGTGACCCGACACTTCGTGACATATTGCGTGTGGAGATCCACGGCTGCCGTGCTCACCAGAATAGACTGGCCGATAGCAATGCTCTAATTGTCTCGCGGCCCATCCCCGCCGTATTCACGCTCCGTTGGCGTTGGCGGTGACATAAGGTCACCACCTGGGATAGGATAGCAGCGGAGATGAGCCCATGACACCCCGCCCTGAAGGCAAGGGAAAAACGGTTGTAAAGCCATCCCCCGCTCCTCTGGATGACAGCTACTGAAGGTTCTAAGGAGTCAAAATCAGGAGCTGCGGCGCGCGGACGGTGAGGCTTCCCTACGTGACTATGAGCGCCTGGCACAGCCCTCTGTGGTGGTCGTCGCCACAAACACCTGACAGTGTTCTCTATGAGGTGGTCATCACTGCCACTGCGCGTCGTTTGACCCGTCGCACGCTCACTATCGCCGGTCAGTGCCAGCACACTACGGTACGAGGAAACTGTCAGACTCTGATCGCTAGCCGAGTGGGATTGGCGTTTTTCACGGCGCTTCACCGAGGAAAACCGGGCCATGGATGCCCAGGATGGTAATGTCGCCGCGCTCCGGGACCGTGTCACTAATCCGGCTTAGAGGCCTGGCACCGGGCGCGCCGTGGCCTCCATACTCGATTGAGGCAGTGCAGGGCTCAGCATTAGTGGGCGCACGGCGTACTCGGACGCCCATTATACCTACCCTGAGCGTCACTTATTTCGCTGCCGGGGTTTCCCTGCTGATAACCAGATTGAGGTCTTCGACGCTCGACCACGGCAGGCGCATTTCATTGAGAAGACCCCGTGGAAACCTGGACCGCTAGTTAAGTTCATGAGCTTGGCCTGCTGGCAAGAGATTTGATAAGACTAATTGCCACGGCGAAAATAAATTACCGAACGTTAAAGAGGCATTGCGCTTTAACAATAATTGCATGTGCCTCCTCAAAATCTTTACGCTACGATTTGGCGGACCACAACGCTCTTTACGCCTCCACACCAGGCAGCGCGACGCACACCGTTCCCTGCCTATGCTCAGATGACGTGCAGGGTTCTGATGCTGGGGTCATCAGACAAACGAGTCATACACGTCACCGCCAGCCAGTTCCGGGCGAGATGACCTCACCACGCAGCTCCCCTCCGCAGCGGACGGGCCGGTGCGGACTGGGAAAGACCAGTTCAGCGAGCCGGGCCTGTTTGCTGCGCTGGTCGCTTAATAAGGTCAAACGGCGGGGATGTCCGTCCATTGCCAGTTGGTCTGCAGCGGCTCGAAACGCGCATGCTGGTCATGCAGGGCCGCTGGACGAGCGCCAGAGACGAACACTCAAGCGCAGGACAATGCGGGAGGATGACAGCCCTGTCAGAAACGGTGAGTTTTGTTCTCCAAAGCATTATCTCATTCACTGTCCTTTTACGGGACAGCCATGTTACGCCCAAGAAGTACTCGGTATGTCTAAAACGCCGGACGATTATCCATGAAAGCAAACGCCAGACACCCTTGTTGCTTCATCTCACCGACTCTCCGCCGTCCGTACATCGCAGCCCCTCCTCCACCAGCCTTTCGCAGAAGCTGGGCGTCATTGACCTCAATGAGCTGATGGTTTGTTTTGCGTCTGTCGTGGCCGCCGGCCGCCGCCGAAATGACCAGCTGGGCCAAGCACCGCCGGGCCGCGGCCCGGCACCGGCGCCGGCGCCGGCTGAACCATGATGGACGAGAGCGCCACGCCCGTAACGACGACCGATGGTGGCGAAACGCCGCCGCGGCGCGTCCGCCGACCGTTTAGCGGCGGGGCGCGGCCGGCGGCGCGGCCGGCGGGCGGCACCCACTGTCACCGGAGGCGGCCACCAGCGGCCTCTGCCCATTGTCCAGCCGGGATAATGGGGCCCGGCCCTGCGACCCGACGCCTGGTGGCGCTGGCGCCCTCCCCTGTGAAGGCCGGCACCTTTGAGGTCCGCCGGGCCGACTGGGAAAGGTCAGACAGGGGCACGAGTCCTTTGTTGTTGTGCCCCGAGTCGTGGCGGCCTGGGTTTCTCCCCTCCGAAGGTCAGCACCTGCGCGGCCTGTCGGACCGACGGGGGTCGGGCAGTCACGCCGCTTCAGGCTCCCGCCCTCCGAGTGTGGGCATATTTGACCCCAGCCACGCCGTCCCTGACAGGGCCGCGCGGACCCGCGAGCGCCGCATGCGACCGACCCGAAGACCTACCGCTCTCTTTGAGGAGGGTCGACGCCTTTGAGACCCGTCGAGCGGCCCAGCTCGGGCTCGGTGCCCCGGCGAAACAGAGCGACGGACGGCGTGAAGCGGCGCCGACCGCCGCGCCTCCCGGCGGACACGGCCGCCCTGTGCAAACCGGCCCGAGTGGCGACCGACGGCGCGGAGTCAGAGTCAACAACGGCTCGGAGTCGGCGAGCGCAGGCGTGTTTGCGGTCAAACAGAGCAGCCCCGCCTTCAACGCCGTGGAAACACGCGAGCCGTTCGGGCGCGCCGCTTCGCAAAAGAGCGACGTAGTAACAGTTCTCAAAGGTTGCCCCGCCCACCATAACCACCTGTGCAGCAAGGACCTGCCGCCATCGACAGTCTGATCCAGGGAGCACAATTTACCTCAGTTTACATGCAACCCTGCTCCTGGGAAAGGTATAAAGCCACGTGAAATAAGGAACCGATGCTACTCGCAGCATAATTCTTTCCGAAACACGAACCGCGCACAATCACGCACCAGGCGATGAAGCGGCATCGTGGGACACGGTCACGCTATTTCTCGTGCGTAGAATGCCTCCGATAGTTCTAAATCACAGGGATGCCCGATCCGCATGCGTAATCATCACTTATTTCAGCCCCGCTCGGGAAATGCCACAACACCGCGACTCGCCACTCTTTTACCTCGGCGGGTGAACTGGCAGACCAAACGCTCCGTTTCCCAGCACTCCCACTCCCCGCGCGGCATGTGAATTAGTCTAATAGCGGCGCCGGCAGCTCCTCCCTGGGGCCGCGGCCCCGGCGATATGCATGATATACCGCTTCCTGCCGGACGGCCGCACGGTCCGTGGCCAGGCCCGGCGCCGCAACGGCCGTTCCCAGGCATCATGTCGCTCAGGGACACAAATTAAGGCGTCGTTGGTGCGCTGACAGCTTCCTGAGTTCGTTATCTGGCCCTGACATTGCCATGTCACTCTGGCCGACCAGTTCGGCGGAAGTGCATGACTTGTAATTGAATCGTAAACGTGGTGACATTGAGAGTAGCCATTAGTGCTGTTCCGTACGCCACTCCCATTTAAAATGATCAATTCACAAAGTCGACCGCTGAAGCGATTCTTACCTCCGCGTCCTCAGCTGCTCCTCACGGGATCGAGGGGCGAGGGCTCAAGTCCGACACCGCTGCTACGAGATAGTCCCCACCAGACCGCTACGACGGGACGTTCGCCACCAGAAGCGGGACGACCACCGCACGCACACGACTCCACCAGCGCGTGAGTCTCGACTGTGGGCCGGCCGTCCGTGCCGTTCGCAGCCACTGCCACCTAGCGAGCGCCGACGGAAGCAAACAGGGCGGTGTGGCTCCGTGCGCAACACGGACGCGGTGTGCAGCTGGGGACCCGGGGGAGCGGGGCGAACGCCGTGCGTCAGTGGGGGCAGGTAGGGGTGGTTGGAGTGAGGGGGACAGGGACGTTTAAAGTTGGGTTCGTGCGACTGAGATGCAGCACACGCGTCGTCAGCTGGTCCCGATGAAAAACAGTCGGTGCATGGTGGTCAGCCAGCAATCCATTGCTTAAACAATGTGATTGCTGAAATCCTGCCATCGGAATCAAACTTCATCATTTTGGTGGGAAGCTGCTCTGGCAAGTCAATGAAGTCACGCATTACTATATCGATCGATTTGGATGTTCTTTCTTTCGTTATGATGTTCCTATTGTGTTTAGGAACATATTGCGTATGGATTTCGATAACCGTGATTTAGAGCGAATGTTTCACATTTGAGGATATTGAGGCAAGCACCGGTTATAATGAAAGAGCCTTAATTATAACTGCTGCATGCTTCTAAGTGGAAAAGACTGTTCTAGATAGCACAATATCTCTGTTTAGTGAATTTGCTCCTCAATACATCACTAACTGCGTCCTCGCACCTTGCACAACAGTGATTAAGAGCCAATTAACGGCCGTTTTATCCGGAAATCGTGCTCACAAACGCCAGATAGGAGCATCTCAACTACTATATTTTTCGTGGTCTTTATCCAGTAGGGCCAATGAAATGACAGGATTTAGATGATGTTGTTATGGTGTCATGGATGGCTGGGTGACCGTGAAATGGTCAACACGAAATAGTGCGCAGATTTTGGCAGATGTGTATCTCAGAAACTAGACGGGGCTCAGGTCTTAAGAGTGGCAGGACTATGAGCTGCACCGAAATCTCTCAAGATGTTTATGCTATTTCAAGTTGAAACTCCATACAACTACAAAACACTACCTTTAACTATTAATTCTGATTAGGTCGCCATCATCTGAAGTTGCGTGAGGCTGAGAAGATCATGTCTAATGCAGTGGTTGACAAAAAAGTGTGCACTGGCTTTCAGATGTTTGGAAGCTAGTACGTAATTTAGCTAAGCACAGTGCTTTATTGCGCAAACAATAGCACGACGGTGTGGGTTTCAGAGCGCCGAGAAATTCGTAATGAGCTTAACCGCTGGTTTGTGGGTATTAGAGCCATGAAGTAATATGGCATCAAGTGGTTACGTCCACAGATACTCGAATTTTGGGAAGGGGGGGGGGGGTCTTGTTGGTGCCTTCAACCTGAATAGCCAAACATATTTGCATGCCTTGAATTTGTTAAATGCTTACATGTAAGGTAAGTTTTACATCCTTAATAGAATGAAGCTTTTAGATAAATAAGAACGGTGTCGAGCATTTCAGCGCTCGCAGGTCATCACCCGTACCGGTTTAGAACCGGCTCAATCGATCCATTTGTCTCGGAGGCTGTTTCCTCCACTCCAGGGCTTCTGTGGTTGCGTTTCTACACCAGGTCTATTGCAGCACCTGTTTTCAAATCTACTGGCACAATCACCCTTTATTTCCGCCGATTAGCACTCACTTGCCGTACACGCTTGAGCGCTTTGGAGCTCATCCTCCTTAAAGTCCAGGTCGTTAGGGATGTTTGTTGCGAAACCAGGAGCCTCGTCCATTTCCAATAGCCTGATCACGAAACTGGACGCAGTGGCGCAATGAATATCTCTCGTTTGTCCTCTAACGTGGCGCTTCCTTTCGAAACCGAGCCAAACGCTGTGGCGAAGGTCGCTCGTGCCACCAGCTGCCTGACGTGTGGCTAAATCACCCGACATATGGCAATGACGCGGCGATTATTCGGCGTCTCGCAGTGCACAGGCCGAGCACTGCTCGCTGCGGCCCGCCGGTGCCTTCGGGGTCTCCAGGAACACGGCCCGATGACGCTGTCCGCCGGCGCAGCAGCGACAGCTGCCACTCTGCCGCGGCCGTGCAGACGGCCCCACGTGGGCAGCTGCTCGACGACCGTCGTCTTGCTACGCGGCGCTCTGCAATAGAGAAGCGGCAGATGGCAGGGATGGGGGGCGGGGTGAGCAACCACGTGGAGACTTCCTTGCAAGCCGGCGGTCACGGGATGTTCCGTTATTTCTTTATTGCCGGGGTCGGCCATCGATCCAGCATGGAACGCCTGCCGCGCGGACAGCCTCAATGTATGAGTGCATGAAGAGCGGTCCGTGTATGCTGCACTCAAGCGAGCGTTGCTTTACACGCGCCCGGGCTGGGGTTAATTTGCCCTCCGCCGAAGGTTTACACAGAATAATTTTCTAACGACGCGGTGCAGCCGCGCCTAACTTTACATAGCTGTAGGCAAGTGAAAACCAAATATTTTGGTGTTAGAAGGCATATCTAACTTAGAAGGTCGCTGACCTAAGATTGCTTGGACTTGGAAGGTCGTTGATGGCAGGTCAGAGTCAGGCTACGTCTGTCAGCGAGGGAAAATTTCTAGGGAATCGTTCAATCTGATGCGACAACGGAGTGTCAGACAAAGCCATGCGTCTCTGAAATAGTTTCTTGGGCAATACAGCAATTAAATTTAGGATTACAACAAATCACACTGACGTAAGCTCTGGTACAAAGGTTAGACCGAGGTTAGAACTAATCTGCTTTTTTGCTGAGAGCCTGCGGCACGGGGTAGTTTTTCGTGTTCATTTCGAATTTATTAACAACATGGACCGCAACAGGTATCTCCCATGGGTTTGTTAAGGATCAGAGTAGGTCACTGACCTAAAGTGATTCAGGTAAATATTTTGTTTTCAGGAGCAATCCGTCTAACCTTATCCTTGACAATTATGTAACTACAAAAAAATAGAACTCTCGTAGGATTCTGGTCACCATGACCTTCTAAATGTCATGCAATGACACTGACCTTAAATAAGCACCAGTGACCTTTTACAAGGAACAGGTATCTAGGCACAAGGCGGTTGCATGAGGAGGTCCGGAGGCACTTTGGACACCAATCTGGAGCGTCAGCTTAGCCCTCACTACCACCCGAACGAACGGCCACCCGGGCGCGTAATAATTCATGATCACAAAACGCCCCCAAACTACTGAGTGCAGAGGCCACATTTGAGTTTTTAAACCATGGTTGCAAACTGGGTTTACGAGGTCCCAAACTTTCCGCTAGAAAAATAAGAAATGTCGAAAAGGAGGTGCCTCAGCACTCAACAATTATTGTTGATTGAATTGTTGCTTACAATAGCCGATTCTTTAGTCATTAAGATGACTTCCGTGCCGTGACGGTTAGTCTAGACTACCTGAGTATGCAGACAAGAATCCGGCTCAAGGAAAAAGTAGTTTCTTATCACCTGTGGTGGAGCCCGTCGGCCCTGATGGATGGCCGTCCAAATGAATGCGAACCTTGAATCTACACGGGACTTCTGGCTCCTCTGTGCGCATTCTATCGCCGCGCTTAGGGTGATAAATAGGCGTTCTCTCAAAACAACGTGCAAAACACAATTGAAGGACGCGGAAAAAATGACTGGCTTCACGACGAACGCGGCATTGTTCTGCGCCCGCTGAAAACAATAGAACGCGAGGCGCCCGACTGGCAACGAACCGCACCGGAATTTAGCCGACCCTGACGCATTGGAATCGGCGTCAGGCCGGGGTGCAGCAGAGCCGATGCAGCGGAATCGGACTCGGCATGGGCCGCGCTGCCACGATCGGAGCCGCTTTCGCCGGCCTCGGCGGATCGGCAATGGCGCCTGCACTATGTGAGCCGAGCCGCCGGTATTTGGGCCGACAGAATTAGTGTGCGAACACGGCGGCGCCCACCGTGTGGGTTCTTTGAACGTCGGCGATTTCGCGCTCAGGTGCACAGGCTGGGCATTGACCAGCCACGAAAGCCTCGTCTCGGGGTGCAGGCTGACCGATTTGTCGTGGGTCCCCGGCGGGCACCGCACCAGACGGGAGGAGCCCCCAAAGGCCTCACGGACGTTGAGGGGTGCTGGTCGCCGGCGTTAACAGCGATCGCGCCGGTTCAGCTTGTTTTTCATCCACGGTCATTACGAACTGCGAAGACGGTGCGATTTCCGCCAAATGATCGCCACGCTCTGATTTCCTTTCTCACTGCCTGTGGACCAGTGATTGCTGATGATCCTACACACCGCACACTGGAAAAACACCCGCCTCTGAGACCCATTAGTGCATGTTATGTTTAAATGCATTATGAGCTACCAACAGCATGCATTTATTCGTACAGATATGCCACATACTCGTGCCATATGACATTTTTAACGCATGCGTCGATGCGTTACCCTGCGATTCCTAATCGAATATTCAACCATGACGGCAAGCGCCACTTTATTGTAGGTCATTGGACGAAAACAATGTGTCAAACAATCTGGTTGCACACGTGCAACGGGCAAAAACGCCTGCCGCACCTCCAGGCATGCTGAGCACACAAGTCATACGCACTCATTCACACGCTGTTTGACCGTTATTATAGCATGTGCGTGCGCTCGGGAACACGCACGTGCCCATCAGCCTTCCCGGCGAGCGCGGCACGTGCTCGGTTCTAACGACTCCGACCGGCCCGTGGGAAGGCCCGAGTGGGCCGTTTTTGCGACAGTCTGCAGCGGTGACGAGGTCAACCGAGCGTGCCGCGTATCCGGCCAGCGCGCATCCTTTTTGCGGGGGCACCGCTAAACAGAGCGGCAAGCCAGAGCCGACGCCAAGACGCGCGCGGCACGCGCAGAGCGAGCAGCAAGGAATGGAGGAGGTGGCGCGCCTTCAGGCCCGCGGCGAGACGCGCCGACTGGGTCAGGTCAGACCGGCGCCACCGAAGTGGGACGAGGCATGTGGCCGGCGCCCAGCGCCGGGGTGGTCATGTCAAGATGGTGTCCACCGCCAGCGGCATTCAGTGGTCATTGGATGTTTGTTATCTATTGATTCTTCTTGAATTCGCTCGTCATT